ATAACGCAGTTATAAACAGTCCAAAAGCAGTCCGATTATATTACACATTTCAAATAATCTGAAGGATTACATTACAGATTACATTTGAAATAGGTTTCTTGAGTAATATACCAAACACTGGTCATCATAGCTTGAGTGCAAAATCTACCTAAAGAGACAACCAATGATAAAAATAGCAACACTGGAATACTGCAAGAAGTGGCAGAAACCAAACACATTTTTTGTCACAAGCACAGTATACATCTATCGTTAAAGCTCTTTTCTATACATACACTTGTTATAAACAAATAATGCCACCTTATAAGGAAAAACACTTTTAGATAACCACAAACCACTTTTGTTATAAATGCATCGAACAGAATGAAAATATTGCACGCATTACTCCATTCCACTATGCTAACAATGCCCATTAATAAGTAATGCGCTAGCATCTCAGAGCTAACCGTTATGCCCACTCAGCAATGCATGTGGATTTATGCACATCACAGTGTTTTCCTTGATCCAACTCTTCCATTCTTTAGAGTTGAGGAGGAGTAAAGCATCAAGCATCACTTTTCTTCTAGCCTTCACAATCCCGCTGAATCAAAAAGAATGGCGTTGCGATTTATTAATATCTTCTTTCAAATGCTAATTTCTTTTCTTTTTTTTTGCCTTCATACATAAATCATAACTCCCGTGGTTGCTGGTGTTTCCGAGTGGAGAGAGTGCTTTTATGGCACAAAGGGGGCTGGAACGAGGCTGCTCTCTGTGCCGGAGTCTGAAATGAAAAGAGCTTATTTAAGAGCTGGACAGCTATGTAAAGGAACTTGGGCTATAGGCAAGGACACTGGAAAAAAAGCTGAAGGACGGCTCAATTCCTAAAAGATTTGTGTTGGATTGTGTGTGTGTGTTTGCTTATTCCATTCATAAAAGGGCTCAGTCATTTAGCCTGATCTGCGTGATTAAAAAACAGATGAAGTAGAGAAGAAGTTTTTTGATGCCGATAGCATGCTCATTTACTCGTACTCATAAAATTCACCAGTACCAACATCAGATACCCTGCTGCACTAATGAACAAACACAGTGAAGGAGGCTCTGCTCACACAGAGAAGTGTTAATGACTCTGTGACAGTTGGACACAAAGCCATCGATCACGTCAAACATTCCACTTTGGCAGATTCTCGCCAGGAATATACTGTGTGATTTTAGCCTGTTTCAAACACACACACACACACACACACACACACACAACACAAACACAAACACAAACACAAACACAAACACAAACACAAACACAAACACAAACACGAATACAACCGCTTCCTCAATACAGGTTGATACACACAGGTCAACTATACAGAAGAGAGGAGGTAGCTAATGTAGCATATCTAGCTAATGCACATCATTTAAAAACATCCAGAATTTAATGATTTAATTTTTAAAGTACACTGCACTCATTTTCACTAACAACTGCTTCATTCTAAGTAGATTACTCAGTGTAATACCGAATTTGGTATCGGTAAGTACTAAAAAAATGATGTACTTGTGCTTGTACTCGGTCTGAAAAAAATGGTGTTGATGCATTCCTGCTTTAAATACAATAAGCATTATGTTCATATTAAACAAAAACACATGCAATTTTAGTTCTCAGAAATCATTAAACCTTCTAGAAGAGTCTGGGGGATCTCCACTGCTTAGAAGAAAATTGAAAACCTGTCTTATAATAAAATCAGTTGCTAAGTTTCATGAGTAAACATTTGAAATACATGATTTGGGAAGGGACAGACACGAGAAGTGTCCTATCAAAGCTCTTCTTATTAGGTTTGATCTAACTTCTAAACACTGGAGCAACATAGTAAAATAGGAGTTTTGGTTTCTTTTGCTTTCCCTAAGGTTTTCTGCTACACATACGTAAAAACCCCTGAAGAGTTCATGAAAGTGTTTCACAAAAATATGCATGCAGCATAAACATTTACACTGACAGAATTCAGCAACTGTCCATTGGCTTCTACTGTAAGTATGTTATGAGTCAATGTTTTCCTCTGTTCTTTCTTACAAGAAAACATGTCTTATTGCAGATGGTAACAGACCATATCTTACAGATTCTGCAGGCAGAGACTGCGTTGAAAAACGCTGGCCTATTCCTTTAAATCTCATTTCCATCAGCTTTATTTGTATATAAACATTTATTCTGAAACTCAATTACTTTAACATGTCCTAAGAGCATAGAGTAAAGTTCTTGACCCTGATATTTATAAACAACGAGTGTGCTAACAAGCTGGATTTCTGAATTACAGAGCTTTATTCAGGCTAAACCAACAGTGGGACCGAGCTGAGCTGAAAAAGATTAGTTTGGATCCTGCTCAAGTCTACCAAAGCAGAAATATTCAGGCATTATTCTAACACATTACTGCAGAAAACAATTATTCTCCTGAAAAAGTGGAATTATAAGCCTAATCTAACACACCTGTGTGTAACATTCAGAGGATCTACGGTATTTCAATTAGCTGTGGAAAGTGTGCACACTACTGACTCCCATAGCTCACAATACACAGCAAGAAAACAGCTTTTAACTGTGTTGTGGATGAATTTGGTGGGTGTATCAAAAACCTAATTCTGTGGAGTCAATATTACATACAGCTGATCTGAATTTTGGTCAAAAGTAGAAGGAAGCACAGGGCAAGATCATTTTGTGAACACCCAAAAGACAAGCATGCAGGAATTTAAACTGGCACAGAAGCTTGCATACCTCATGGCATTCCAAGAAGAGGACTCTCTTTCCAGAGTGTAAACAAAACAATCAACATCAAAACATGTTCCTCCAGGCTACTGCTGTGACTTCTGTGTCTACAGCTGCCTATGAGTTTGAGAAGTGACAAATATATGGCCATTCTAACATTCTTTCTGCTTTATGGCAAATCAAGTTCTGGGGTCAGCACTTTGCTGTTCTAAAGTCATGCTACTCGTTTTAAATGTGAAATTACGACTACTTGTACTGGGCAAACAACATGCCTTCCAAAGATAAATTTGTCAAAATGAACTGACCATCGTCTTAGGTGCCATTCTGTATTTCAAAACAACTTCCAGACTCTTCTAAAAACACTAAAAGATCTACTCCATATGTCCAAAACAAATGATTCCTCAGAATTCACAGTACTAATAGAGAGTCTGTCCCTCCCTTTGCTGCAGTAACAGCCTCTACTCTTCTGGAAAATCTTTATACTAGATAAAACATTGCTGTAACATTTGATTGCATTTAGACTCACAGAAGCATTAGTCAGGTGCTGATGCTGAATTAGTTGGATCACAAAGACCACTCCAACTCCAGAGAGTAGAGCTGTACACTCAGCCCGCGATTCATGAATTAGATTCACGATACTGAGTCCATGATTCGGTATTCTCACAATATTCTGAACAAAATTCAAATGAAGAAAATTGGTGACTCTGATGTGACTCTGACTCAGCTTACTAATGACACTAGAGCTGTGATGGAGTGAGCTGGTGTTGGTGCTAATCGTTTGCAAATGTTGATGCTGGTGCTGATCGTTTGCAAACGGTGGTGTTTGAACAATGCAGTTGCACCTCCATGATGCACACAGTCACAGTTTTGCATTGCGATATCATGATATGACAATGCATTGTTACACCCCTACCAGAGAACGTAATTCCACCGCTCCACAGGCCATTGCTTTATACCCCCACCAGCTGATGCTTGGCATTGGTGAACTCCATAGCGTCCCATTCTACTGGCAGTACTATTTCTATGGAGATATACAAACAGTGTATGTGCAAATAAATGCCTGTAGCAGCAATACGTGCACTTTTAAGTAGCTGAATTGACTAATTAGAAGGGGTGTCTAGATACTTTTGGGCATCGGGTCAGTTTCCTGGACAGGAATTAAGCTTAGTCTTGGACTTTTATTTTACTTTCAATGGAGAAGCTCCATTAAGAATGCTGTGTAATCCTGTGTGACACCATCCTGTTTAACGGACATTGTGCAGTAAGATGAATCACATTTTGCTTTCCTTTAATCAGCCAGCGATGATATTATTTGACTGCAGCCATCTCTTCCTTGTTCTGAATACTTTCTTCAGTATGTCTGAGGAGTTCATCATGCCTCTCATGATCCAAAGATGTCCACGTTGCTAAGGTCACACATGGGACTAAACAGTGTGGTTGCACTGCTGTTATAATGAGCTCCTGTCATTTACAGAGCAGCTGACCATAATAAGTAGAGGGGGGTCGACGCAAAGCAACATTTTTAAGCAATGTTTAACTTGTATTCTGGGAAGCCGCACCCTCCTGCACAGGACTGGTCAGTAGTTCATATTCACGCGCAGTCCTCCAATCAGAGGGACACCTACTAAACAAAAAACTTTGTTAAGTACAATATAGTAAAATTAGTAAAAAAGGCCATCCTGAGGTAGCAAATCAATAATAAAATGGCCTCAGATTAACACTGCCCACCCATCTGTATTAGGATACTTTTAGGACAGTGAATTAGTTTTTATATTTATTTTATAAACTGTTTGGAGACTTTATAAAATTATTAAAACCTTTCCTTTTTAATTCTGGAATTTCTTGTATTCATTCATGTTTTTGATTTGGCAACAATTTCAACTGAAAAACAAATGTAACCGTAATGCAAACAAAAGCAATTTAAATGTGGGATGACTGATTTCAAGATCAGTTCTTGTGCCATTATATAAGTTTATTTCTCAGTCCGACATGAACATAATCGTTAGATTCGTCGATTCACCGATTATAGAAGTAATTGTTCGTTGCACCTCTATTAGAAACCTGGGAGGGCGGGGCTTATTGACAAAATAGGAAAAATAACGCTTTTGAAACTGACTATGCTGTTAAGTTTGGGGGCTTGTTGGAAAACGGGTGGAGAAAAAACAACGCCTTTGAAACTCACACTGCAGTTAAGTTCGGCACGTTTCACATCACTGTTATCCAAACTGTCGCTGTGATTAAACTGAAACATGTCTGTATGTCAAAACAGAAACACTCCTACCTGCCAAGAGCTCGACGGTATCTCGGCGAACTTGCCCAGTCCACCAAACGTGTAGCAGCGGTACATGTGGTCCAGAGACTCGGAGCAGTGCCACAGCAGGCCGAAGCTGACCGAGTCCTCGCTCCTGGCGTGCTCCTTCACTATCCAGGCGGGAGAAATAAAACTGAAACTGCACACGGCCACCAGGGCGGAGGACAGGAGCACCCAGAAACACCCCACGCAGCTGAACATGATCCTCAGCGAGCTCGGAGACAGAGCGATCCCAACCCCGGCTTCTTTCCTCTTTCGAGCCAGCAGCACTGAACGCATTGGGAGCGCATTCACTGCGCGGGAGTGAACGTTCAAAAACCGCCCCGCACCTCACACGGAAATGTCACATCTGAGGAGATGTAGCCAGCTGAGATTTAGAGATGGAGCCCAGCTACGGCGTTAAATCCGTTAAGAGAGTGTGAAGATTAGGTAAACAGCACGACCCGGGCATCGGTTTGGCAGCTGAGGACTTAAAATGGTTAACTTTGACCAAATACTAGGGGAGTAAATCCAACATGAGCGCTTATTCGGCAGAGCGGCTCCTCCAACGGACGAAACTGGAAAACAAAACTGGAGTCAAGTGCTGGACAAAGACAAGTCAACACCCCAAAACACAATCGAGGCGGGAGAACAAACGGGACCCAAATAAATCCACCTCGGCTCTTGTTTCGCAAAATACAGCTTTTAAACCGGCGGTTGTAAAGTCTGAATTTCACCGCTCGGCCTGCTCTGTCAGAACCAGCACAGCCGTTACGCGCGCGAGCGGCATCTGAAGCTTCTGTCAACTTCTCGTGCGTACTAGCGCTGTCCGATTCGTGAGCGAATCGATCATATGAGCCGGTTCCTTTGAACGAGTCAGTCGAACCGATTCTCAAGTCCAACTACACTTGGCTGTTTTGTTCTAATTAAATTAGAACGATAATCTTTCAAAATGTAATCTCATAAAACATCACATTTCAAAAGGTTTCAATTACACTATTTCTGGACTGTAAACATCTATAATTACTTTCACGGTTTATCTAAAGCATCCGGGGGTGTCCGATCTTATCCAAAGGGCCGGTGTGGCTGCAGGTTTGCATTCCAGCAAAGCAAGAACTCACTTAATAAGCAGTTTAAAGACTGATATTAAACAAGTGGAATCAGGTGTGATACAGCTCGTTTTGAGTGAAAAGCCTGCAGCCACACTGGCCCTTTTGATAAGATCGGACACCCCCGGATCCTTTCGATAAGGATTATGCACTATGCATAGTTTTCGAAACCAACCAAACGTTTGATTCACCGAAACGGAGGGCTCTAAAGAATCGGTTCGGTAAACTGAATCGAACTGAATCATCACTAGAGTGTAGCGCCTCGCGCGCGTCCGTTGGAAAGTGGGCGTCGCCTCAGAATGTTTTCACGGCAGACGAAGAAGCAAAAACGCTAATAATAACTTATGAATTGAACTTAGTCCCCAATTCATGTTTTGTCATTCCATACAGTATAAATAGGCTAAACGGTGACTGGAGTCTCGGTAAGTTTAAATATCATGCGCTAGACGTAGGTCAACGAAAACGGCTCTCCTGTGTTCAACAAGAGAGTGCGTTAGTTACTCGGGCTACAATATACGGCTCGTTAATTACAGTCGTTAAATTCCAGTTAATTGTTAGACATTGAATACGATTCCAACAGCAGTACCAGAAGGTCTAACAAGTATTTAAAGACAATGAAAGGCCGCTACTGCCCTCTATTGGCGAATGTATTCACAGCCTTCCACAGCCCGAAGGCAATGAAGTCTCACAATCTCTAAAAATTATAATAAACATCACTTATTTTCTGCATTTTTAACTATTCACCGATAAGCTATAATACCATTCTGCTATCTACAAATAAACACCATTTACATAATAATGAACCTGATAAACAGCCTTACTAATATAAAGAAGCTTTATAAACTTACAAACAAGAAATGCACATAGACACTTTCCAATAATATATGTATTTAAATCAAACACAATTTAAATATATTATGGATTAAGTACACATACATGTCAGAAAACATATTAGTGGTACATAGTACCAAAAATCTATTTTTTCTGGTTCTTGTCCACGTCTCAATGAGGTCCAAAGCAATATCATTGCTAGCATGTTCACAGAGTACACTTTTCCAATGGAACAGGCATCACTGAAATTCGCTTTGACACAGAGTTGACATCTTATACAAAAAATAAAAGAAGGTAAACAAACAAAAAAAGACAATCACCATAAAAAGAAGTTACATTGATATATTTGGGAGGAGTGGGGCAAACCAGAAATCTACACCACTGTAGACTGGAGGAAAGGGGGGGGGTATAACATTGCACTAGCACTTGTCCATGTGGAGTGAGCTGATTCTGGATGCAGTGCTTGAAGGAGTTCTTGCTACCAGGGAGGAGTGGCGGGGTGTTGAACAGAATGGTCAAAAAACCAACCAGTTTGTGACCGTTTGCTTCAGTTTGAACTGTAACAATGTATCAGCCCATTCAGGTCAGTTCAGTGATAAAACCGTACTGGTGTAGTCCATGTCTCAGGTGGCTGCTTTTACCCTTTTAAGGTGCCATGCCAGAATGAATACACCTGCAAATAAAACTGTACATAGTCACCATGGTTATATCTCTGAGCTATAAAAAAGGGAAAACAAAAACAAAAAAAAACTAATTAAAAAAAACATCCCCCCATAGCCAGTCTCATTAAAAAAAAAAGGGGGCGAATGAAGAGAGAGAGAGAATGAGAGAGCAAGATAACGGATAACAGAGGATAAGGAAAACAGGAAACTATGGGGGGTGGATAGACTGGAGTAACCTGGTCTTATTATGACTTTATAAGACCATACGAAGTCCCTGTGAGCTTCCTCTTGGTCAGCACGGTAACAGCGGTGGTCCTCGCGCAGTTCTAGAGCGGCATGGATCGTGGCTGTTTCACTCTCCCTTTGGGAATTTGTTCTGGAAGTCTGTGGTTCTTGTGCATCTGCTTTCATTCATCTCGCTGTTTATTCGCTTCTTTTGCTCGTCTTTTATTCAAGCTCCTCTTCATGTGTTAAACAAAAAGCCTTCATAATGCTTGAAAATGGAAGTGTGGGTCATGTGAGCACGAATTTGGCTCGAGTGCATATACACACCTTTCAGTCTCTCACATTCGCTCACTCACTCACACATACACTCGTGATATGAAGGAAGTCAAGGATATGCAGGAATTCCTTGTTCTAGCTTCATTCAAACTCGCCGTTGGGTAAATGCAGTGTGCAGTTTGTCTCTAGGTGGTGTGACGTCTGGCTCTAATGTTGAGGGCAGCAGCTGGGAGGCTAAGAGCAGGAGCTTCGCTTCTTCAGAGCACAGGGTCATAGCTAAATGACCAAACAAAAGAGATTTAGTGATACCACCACAGCCTTAAGAAAACCCCAAGAGATCTAGCAATAATCACTAGCTATGTCTCCATCAACTTTCTGCGCAAAGATTGTAAATGATTCAATTAAAATGTGATTTCTGCAGCCCAGTGTGCCGTTTGTGTTTGTTGTAAGAGGCACATGAGGGTAACCAGTCACATGATTGTAAATGTATGCATAAATGTGCTATCCCAAAATTCCACTGTGGGTTTTGCTACATTTCAGGTATATACAAAAGTTTCCACAAAAGTTAAATGAAAAAAAGCTGACATTAATAAAATATTACAGACAATTTGTGATTCCACAGCCTACGCTGACAAACTTATGTTCTTTGCAAAAAAATAGTTTGGGTCAAAACATAGCTAGTGTCAGATGAAAATGTATTAAGTTTGAAAACCATCTGAAAACACTATTTGCTGTTTGCATCACACAAATAGACCAACAGAAAATTTGAAAAGCAAACCTTTCAAGGTTTTATAAGCTTACATTACCAGAACTTTTTAAAGGGTTTGCTTAAGGCTTATGTATCTTATTTTTAAATAAATTAGATTTTGACATAGACTATTAGGTTATGTGGTTTGAACCACAATTCTGAAACCATACATTTCTCATTGAAGGGGGAAAAAAAAATGCCTTCAGTCAAACCACTCACAAATCAGATGAAACGATACATTACACCATTTTAAATGGTTACCTTGGTGGACTTCGCTACTGGGCTTTCATGCTGTCCTTGCTGCATGACATCGTTGACGATCATCTTAGCAATCTTCCAGGCCATTTCCTCCTGAGCCTAGATAAAGAGGTCATAGGCATACATATATGAGAGTTGTATAATCTACAAAAAGAGTGAAATGATGCTTCTCATGGCAAGGGCGCTACAATAATTATGCAGTATTTTATATAGATAAAAAAAAACAGTGACTCAAATTTCAAATGCACACCTCATCTGAGTTTCCTTGCACCCATTTCTTCATTGCTTGAGAAAACATGGAACCTGTTAGAGAAGCAGGGAGAGCAGTCTTAGTTCCAACTGCTTTGAGTTTCACAATGGTGTCTGAACCCAATGCAATTTCACTATGGGATCGAAGCCAGCACTCTCAAGACTGTGCACCACACACAGATGGAAAACGCCTGGCTGGCCATGCTGTTCTTCAGTGGCTGACCATCACGCTTTGAGTCATTCTCAAAATCTGTTATTAAAATATCTATCGTCTGGAAACTGAAGCTAAGCACACAAAAGATAAGACAAAGAATAAGGCAGAGAGAAAGAGAGAGTGATAGATATATATATATATATAGAGAGAGAGAGAGAGAGAAAAAAAATTCTTCATCTCCTCTCCTTCGCAATCACACCAAATCACAGCCTCCTTATCACCATGGCAACACACACTCTCCAAGTCACTCAAACACAAGCCTGAAGAGCACTTCAACACGAGCTGAGAGCCAATTCACCCAGCAGACAATGTGATGCGTGTGAGAAAGACAGGCAGAGAGAGAACTCAGGATTCATGGGTAGAGCCTCTTAGCAAATGTACGCTGGTTATAGAAGAAACATTTTCCCCACAAAACTAATGAATACATGCATTTTTAAAATATGTGCTTCCTTAAAACAGCTTGCTCAGAAGCCAGCAGGGTGGTTGTGTTTTCTTACCCTTGGATTTCTTGACGTCCGGTTCTGGCTCAGCCTCCCTGATAAACTGGCCCAGCTCGTTGACTTTACCAAAAGTCATTCTTCTAAACAGAAGGGAAGACAGTATCGCTTAATTCAGGCGGGCAGACAGCAGAACTGCTTTAATGCTGATTGTACCAATCTGTTGTTTATTTGCGGTCACTGATGCCCTTTATTAGCGGGTTTCTTGAAAAGCCAGTGGCTGGTGCCAGGATGTCTCACGTTTCCATTTGTCATTTTTTGTTTCTTGGTGCAGTAGAATTCAAGTAGCACAAATGCAGCAAGATATACATAATACTTTATTCGCACATGATTTAAACTGATCTTGGATTTTGGATTTGGCCTGCGCTGTTATCACAACAACTCCAAAGAAATGATTTTTTTTAGCATGTTTAACATGGTTTGTGGCTCAATCTCTGAAAATATAAAATAACTACCTTTTAACTGAAGTAGATTAAAGGAAACAAACAACCACATGTGTCACAATTATTGGCACCCCTAGAAATTATTATGAACAAAGTGACTGAAAACGTTCCCAATCATATTTATTTATGTTCTTTTATTGAAGTCCAAAGTGTTCAGGCACTCTTGAGCCAGTCATCCACGATTTCCTGTTTTACTGGGGTATAATTATAAAGTGACACAGGAGCAAAACTCCCTTAGTCATTTATCGGCATGAGGGGAAGATCAGAGAATACACAAATGAAACACGGAAGAAGTATGCTGACCTGCATAAACCAGGTAATAGCAAATAGCCACATCCTTGAAATAGTACTGTTATGGCAATGGTTAAGAAGTTTAAAACAACCAGAAGTGTAATGAACCTGCCTGGAAGAGGACACAAGTGTACTTTGCACCCACACACAGCAAAGTGGATGGTTAGTGAGGCAAAAATGTTTCCAAGAATCAAGATTTGCAGATGATAGTAGTAATTAGGGGACACCAAGTCTCCAAAATAACAAGGAAACATCACCTCCATGCCAACAAACTGCTAGAGGAAAGTCTTTTCTTTCATCTAAAAACAAATGTAAGCGTTCACTAGATGCTACTGGAGCTTTGACTGGAACCTTGACTGGAACCATGTTCTATAGTCAGATGAGACTAAAATAGAGATTTTTTACAACAAAAACTCAAGCTGGCTTTGGTGCAAAAAGAAGGATGCTTATACAGAAGAGAACCTCAACCCCATTTAAGGGGGGTTAGGTATGATGGAGGCTTTGCAATGTTTTGGGGTTGTTTTACCTCCAAGGGCCCTGGGAACCTTGATCGGATAACACGACTTCATGGATCTTTCTGCTTCTGCCTAAAAAGCTAAAATTGTTTCATGACTGGATCATCCCACAGATCAATGATCCAAAACGTACACCTAAATCCACCCAAAAATAGTTTGATGACCATAGGACCAAGCTACAGACATGGTCATTCCAGTCCTCTGACCTAAAGACCCAAGACACTCACTGAAAATCTGTGGGGTGAGCCGAAGATGAGAGCCCAAAAGAGGTGACTTAGGACCCTGAAGGATCTGCAGAGATTCTGTTTTGAATGGTCTCAGATTCCTTTTTACAGATCTTTATCAAGGGTGCCAATAATTATGGAGCTGACTGTGTAACTTACAATCTAACCTTAATGTTTGTAGAGAATATGGAAGTTCCGCTAAAAAAGTTCAGCAAAAAAAAAAAGAAGAAAAAAAAAGAAATCCAATACCACATAAATTGATATGAAGTGATTTAAAAGAGTCCTTTTATTATGACCCTTTAATGCTTTTATACACATAAATTACATAACATCACAACCCCTGCAGCTTTCTTACAGCTGCTTTTCAAGATTATCCCTTAAACTATATTACACACTCCCCCCACTCAATGGGGATTTTCCATTCATCAAACTGTGTTCATAATCTCATAATCTGGAGAAGAGTAGGAATATGCAGCTCTCTACACACTCCACTAGGCCACATCTGAATCAGGTATACTGCATAGTGTATCAGAGCTATTCATTCATATATCCATGCCAATTACAATGCTCTATTTAACATCAAAGAGCACACTCAAGGCCGCATCGCTCCTAACATCAAGGCCTTTTCAAGGAGAGGATGATGGATGATAAACTGCAGCTCACTGACAATGAATTTCACGTGGACCTCTGAATCCTCTCCTGAGATAAAGTGGAGTGTAAACAATTTCAGCACAATATGATCAGGTGGCATAAAGCATCTACACTCAAGCAACCAAATCAATCAGAATCAACCAAACCTATTATATGAAACGGGCTGATTTAATGAAAAATTAGAAATACATCAATGATTATCAATACGATACATTTAAATTTCCTGAACACAGCATTAAATTGCAAATTGCCTAAAAATCAACCTTAAAAAGTCAAAGTCATGCAACGACAGCTGGGCACACTAAATCCACACAGAGGGAGATACATAGGTTAAAGCTGCAACTTACCCAGCATATGGTCTCTGGTACAGAGACTCAGGATCCAGACTGGCGATGTCCACAGTTATTGCCTCATCAAAGTTCTTCAGGATCTTGATGGCTGCTTTTTTGGTACCCTGCTATAAGACAAGAGAATGTACAACTAATTTTTGGAGGCATTCAACGGATTCAGTCCTTTTTTACCCCCACAATCTAAAACGGTTTAAGAAAGTAAAAAATGATGTACTCTGGGGGAAAAAAATCAGTCATGCTTAGAATAAAATAAAATGTATTTTCAGTGCTCAGTATAAAAATACTGTAACCATCACTAATAAAGTCCAGGGATGGATCTCGTTACTCATATCCCTCCTCAATTCCTCATCCTATGTCCTCGAGCCCATGACCCAGAAATAGAGATCTGCTAGCTGACCTTAGCTCAACAGGGCCCAACAAAAATATCAGGTTTTGGGTCAATTCTTCACTTACAACACTGGCTTCGGATCAGGCTGAGGCTTGTTTTCAAACAAGTGATGTGCAGGTCTCTACCAAAAAGTCATCTCCAAAGGTCCACCATCTTTAAGGATGTGTCAGTTATTTAAGTATACACAGGTGCATGTTACACTGAAGTCCTTTTTTACTGCAGCATGTGATGCAGGCCTGGTTGATTTCTAGTTCATTTGTTTAGTGTGCACCTGTGTACAGGTGTAGTGCTCTAAAGTACTAAAGCAGCACATGAGGTAGGTGTGAAAGCCCCAAGTCCATGTGAAAAGTCTGATAATAAGAGTTCAACATGTCAGATCTGTTAAGCACAGTAACACGTTCCTTGTGTCCTTAGAGGGAGGAGCTACAATGCAAGGAAAAGATGCAAGAAAAAGGATCCGAAGACACAAAGATATTAAATGCACTTTAAGTGTATATAAATATAGCCTCGTATATTGTTACACTACTTATCTGCATCTTATGACAAAGACAAAGCCACAGGGCAAACTGCTGTCAGAGAGATCAACTCTTTTAGCATGACATGCTATTCTACCTTTCTCCTTGTAACTAATCATCCCTTCTTTAACATTCACACAAGACCATCTGTTCCAGAATGAAACATACTAAAATGTCACTGCAGCACATGGAAATGCCATAGGCAGAAAGCAACCTATGAGAGTGGAGGGATTAGATCATACATAAGGTTGAAAAGTCACCTGAGCCTGCAACCCTTCTGATGCATTTGAGCCACGGTCGCTGTCCGGTGTCGTGCTATGACCCGACATGCTGGAGTTTCCCCCGACAAACTCGTCCGCCCGTACAGAATTGATAAGGTCGCTCAAGTACTTGTAGTACAGGTTGCTGGACAGGAAGCCTGGCATGTAGACCTGTAATTAACAACACAGAAAAATACAGAGGTTTGGTATGTCCGTAATACAAAGGTTACTAAGGGTGGGTGTGGTTATTCTAATGTATGAATGTTTTAACTAATCTTAGTATTCATGTACTTGAAAAAGTACTAAAATAAGACATTTGTAGTTTGGAATAAAAAAATGAAATAAATGTTGTGCTAACTGTGATAACAGGATTTTAACTGATCATATGAAGTGAACGCTGGGACATACATATAGCAGATGATAAGTGAAATAAGCACAGCTTCACATGAAAATGTTTTAAAATGGCGCAATATATGTTGTGTGAGTTACTGTTCAGTAGGCCAAGTGGTAGAAGATGAAATCAGGCCATCAGTTTCACAACCGGTGTCAAAAACAAGAACAAAAACCTGGCTAGGATAATGTTAATTTCCGTTATCACCCTTATAAGATGCTAAAAGTCACAGAACAGTAGTCTAATAAAATGTCAGCACCAAGCTAATGCATTCACATAAAAATGTTTTGGCTCTTTTTGCCCACTGAAATCAAATTCTACTGTCAGTTCCTAATTCTATTGGTGGTTAAATCTGACATGTTAGGCCTTCAGTTTAGCTTATAAAGTTCTAGCCAAGGAAAGAGCTCACTTAGCTGCGTCTACCTAGAGACCACAGAGAAAAAACAATGTTGTCTGAATCATTTTCTATTGAGTGTATTTACCCTTTTGTTTCCAATCACAACTTCACAATAACATTACTACAATACTTACATATATTAAATACAGCAAGCTTGAGGTATGGATCACTTTGTCAGCTAGCTCTATGCAGTAATACATAAATGAATACATACACAAATATGCATGGATACCACTGGATCTATTGTTTTCACTTCCATCCCAAAACCATTGTTCATTTCTGCCTGCAATGGCTCTGTTCATGGTTGTCTTTCCTAGCCTTTGACCAAACCACACTAGGAACATTCTATCCAAAACCCTTCGCAGTTTAGATCAGAGCTTAACATTTTGATGAAGTCACGCACCTTCTCCATGGTGGTCCAGGCCTGGCGCAGTGGAGTGGTAAAGCAATCGGGCAGAGGGCCTCCCTCACGACAAATATTTGACTCAATCTCCATTCGAACAGAGTCACCAAAGCCCAGTGGATTTGTTGCTTGGAGTGAAAAATATCTGAGAACGAGACAGCACATTAACCATGACTTTTTTCATCTATGGAGTGTGCAATATGATCTAGCTGCTTTAATAATAATGCTTCTAAAAATGTTCAGCGTGCATATACAGTACTTCAACATCATTTGTCCTTGCACTAACAAGAAGTCAATGGTTACTATCAAATTCCTACTGAGATTCAGTCAGGATTCCACAATATGTTTAGATTCATTAGATTCATTGTCAGGGCACCTTTCGCATACTAACAATTTTGAAAATACATACTAACTAGATTAAACTCGGTATTTTAATCTATTAATGTACAAATCAACAAAAAACCTTAAATATCCATGCTGAAGTAAGACTGCATGTCTAGAAAGTAACTTTAGCCTCTTTTCCATTGCAATGCAGAACTGCTACCACAGCTGTGTCATGCCAACCCGCGGATTTAGTGTTTCATTGTGCTAAATCAGCACTAACAAGTACTGAAGAAGAAGTACAAAGAGTGAGTTCTGTGTGTGTATAATGCTGTTGTCATTGCTCCCCATTATGCTGACTGACGATGATAGAATTCAGGGGTCACAATGTCAACAATGCAAATATAGCCATTTTATTTTCTATCCAAGATGACTAGTGTCTTACAAGTTTTTATATGCAGTGTTGATAATGGTAAAAGTGTGGTAAATCCCAAAAAGCTGGGGACTATTTTTGCTTACAATGGCCTACATGCGCCTCTGTGCAATGAATGCGTTTTAAAGGTGATGTTTTAAGCCAAAGGTAGCTTTTAGAGGCATGAAACTCTTCAGATATCTGGTTTCTATATCTTAGCACTGAACGATTTGGGAAAATATTTAATTGAGACTTTTCAGACCAGTATAGCGACTCCAATTTAATCTGTGATTATTTTCTATAAATTAAGGTCCAGCCTTTTTTTTTTGGCCAAGAAGATCTGCATATTTTTTTCTAGCTTAAACAAATCAAAAGTCCATTATTATTTACAAATAATAGCTTTGCATCCAAAATAACTAATATTTACTAATATTTATACAGACTTACTTATCATAAAGGATCATGGCATCGTTCTGAGCCTCCTGTCCGTCATACTGGCCTTTCTTAGCAGCCAGCTGAACCTGGAAGTTATCTGCAGCCAGCCAAAACTGTAGTATGTTCACTGCATCCTCCTTCTCCATGTACTGTGTGCACACATACATAGACCTCAAATTCAGCATTCTATTACACCAGATCTCAGTACCCAACGTTTGTCATGCCTTTGCTTGCAATTTTTCAATATTAACACAAAATGTGTGTGTGGTTGCAAAGTTGGGTTGTGTTATGTATGCATCTTGCAACAAGTTAAGAATTACCATTGTCTACCACTCTACCTTTTTAGTGTTTAACTGCCTAGGGGTGTAATTATAAAGAAAGGAAATGTGAGTCCTTACCTCAGAGAAGTAGAACAGGGCCGACTCACAGAAGAGGATATCCGCCAGGAACACAGAACCGCTGGTCAGCACCTCGATCTGGTACTTACAGAAATAATGGCTCCGCAAGAACTCGCTAAAGTGCCTGGGGAAGACATTTAAACCCAGAAAATATGATCCATCACTATGCTGATCAAAGGGAGACGTGGAGAACATGATGCAACGTTAAATAAATACCAGGTCCAATCAGTAAATTAGGTATGTTAAGGCTGCATGATTAGGCATGCATTTATTATACTGCTACATTATATGCAGTGTGCAAAATACCCCTTGGTATTCGGGGGGTTCCATGTAGGCTGGCTACTCCAGCAATGACTGGCTGCTAACTCACTCACCAGCACTGATGCTATAGCCTCTACGGCAACAAAATGTTTTGTTTAACAGCTCCTCTTCTGGAAATGCTTGTCTGGTTTGGACACACATTAACCGAGATCTTACACACCTTCTCTTTGGTCTTTGGTTTGGAAAAATGAGTGACAATTTCCAGCAGTGTCTTGGAAAATTGGACAAGTTTTAAGATTTACAAATATGCTACAGTATACTGTACATTTTTTTCCAGAGGTATCCCAGGCATATTTACAGTTGCTAAGCTATGAAGGACCAGCTGTGAGCCAAGTTGCTACAGCGCCACCCTGAGGCAGACCAGTGCTGCATCTCCAGTTAGTTAAGCTCAGAAATTGTGGGTGAAGCAGCTAAACAATGACCCTTCCCTGAATCTGTATTTGAACGTTAGGAGTGGGCAATACACCGGTTCATCTGGTATACCGGTTCTTCTTAAGGTATTAATTTTGTCATTACCGTTATACCAGTATGTAAATAAATGCAGATAATGCGATGTACAAACAAACATGCAAAACACACTGATTCCCTCACCTCCCTGGTAGGGATTTCGAGCCTGAGGTAAGTTAGTCCAGTTTATTGTCAATGGAGCAGACATCAGACTGTAATCAGTTAATGAGTTAACAGGGGAAAAGAGAGTGGAAGGAAAAGCCAGTCTTTTGGGGTTAGCCATTAGCCAAGCATGCAGACTAGCTGGCTTTCTGTGTGCAGCGCTCCTCGCTCAGCCAGCGCCTTCAGGCAACACCACAGTTTTGGGCTACAAGCCGAGAGGCTCCGCAGCTCCTCAGCTAAAACTGAAAGTGTAAATGGCTTGTAATATTTACCAAACTCCAGCAGCATCTGATGGTCGTAGATTAAAGCTCAAGACACGCACATGTGACACAAATGACTTTCAGACATAAAACATCAGCACTGTTTTTACAAGGCTGAAGATGGCTTCCTATTCGTCAGCTTCTTGGTAGAATTTTTCACTTCCATCCTAAAGCCTGAGGCGCCAGAATGAAACTGCTGCGGCAACTTCAGCCTCGTACTACTTTTGTTTATTTTACTTATTCTACTTATTTTACTTAAGCATCCAAAATGGTTTTATTTGAGAAAAAAAACATACATATACTATACAGTGAAGCCATCACTAATCTTAATTATACTGTGAGTTTTTGCCCATAATGACTACTTTTGAGCATCTATTTTTCGGACAGCATAAAGTCATAAGTTTATTTTGAGGGACCCCCAGAATTTTTGAATTGATTGAGACATTCAGGAGGTCCAAGAGGTTAATTAGAGGTTAACTGGACCTCTCGAGGATCCCCTGTATTTTGCACCTTGACTATATGAACAATGACATTGCAACTGGCATGTGCCACTTTGTTCCATATATTAAAAACGCACTGTTGAACCAATTAAGTGACGCAGTTAAAGACTGGTTTGTATTACTTAGAGCAAAACAATTTATTTTGTTTGATTCAATGAATACCTTTTCAGAACACCACACAATGCTCACAGTAAAAAAGCAGTGTCCCTGGTTAGAGGGTTGAATTGCATATTGTACCCTTCTGTGATATCATTACTGCAAAGGACAGTGTCAAGATAATGATAAACAAAACACTGTGCAGCCATACAAGCTACACCGGGGATGCCACAAAACACTGAGGCTGTAATTAAGTAGAGTAATAAAAATGACTCACTGTTGCTCTATGATGGTGAACACCACTGACTGGGCGATGACAAAGCAGTTTGGGTCCACCTGACCATCCTCCCCGCAGATTTTAGCTGGCAAGATACAATTACATCAACACCTGCATCTACACAACACTCATTAGTACATCTTCAAAATTATGCACTGCAGGAGTATCATAAAGATGCAAAATTAGGTGCAGCATTTAGTCACTTAAGAGACACTAAACCATTAGGCATCAGCATTACAAGTAAGTAGACCCATTATAGAGCCCTGTGGGATTTAAATGTCAGATGATGAAATGCAGGGCTGGCCAGAACAGCATTCTACAAGCTTTAAATACTTGTTATAAAGCACTCAAATACTCATTCTGAAAAACAATACTTATGTTTCATATTCACTCATAATTTTAAGTTAGTTAATTTTATGTTCGTTACTGCAGTTCAAGATGTATCTAGTAGGTGGCAATAGTGTGTTAACAGTCAGGACGAAGCAGAGTTGCTTGTGTGCTAAATGCTGTTATGAAAGATGGTAGTCCTCTTGTTCAAATGAAGTCATGTATCTAAACGTTAAGGGTGTAATAACCTAGAATTGTTATGTTAGTTATCACGTTTTCAGTTTTAGCCTGTATTTTTGGTTATTTATTATTTACTTATTTTATAGTTATTGCTTTTGGCTAGTTTGCCATTTTTTTAACCATGAAAAGCAGCATAGAGGGTGATATATCAGGTTGAGCTCAGTCATAACCAAGCTAGGATTAAGAAAGCTTGTGAAGCTACAGGCTCATCTGAACGCAAGGAAGACCAGCCAGGAAGCAGCTCAACATGGACCCTGCTCGGCTGGTACAGCCTTCCCTCCTGGACCTGGTACCGGACGTACAGAGAGAACACAGGCTGCATGGCAAGGAAAATGCTGAAACTGTGATCATTTCCATCCCACAGAATGTGGCTCTTGGTCTGCTGGGTGAACTTGAGTGAATTAGAGAGAACTTCACGCCCCCCCCTCCCTGCATGACACCTCTGCCTGGGAGTGCCCACAACAGCAGCAGCACTCCTCCTCGTCCAATACCAGAATTTACCCCAGGTTTAAGGCTCTGCGCTCTCTGGTGTTAACGATGGCCTCACCAGAGACTAGTGGTACACTGTTAAGTATTGCTATACTAGGGGTGTCACAATACGCATGTGAGTGTTCATTTTTTTCAAATTCAGTTATTGCAAGATGTTACGCACTGTCTATCGAATCATTAGATTTCAAGCTATAAATTGCTTGCTAATGGGAATGGTTTCCATACACAATCCACGATAGTCTTAAAATTTCAGAGTTGGAAAAAACTGGTTTAATTAGCCTACCGTGCACAAAACTGAAGTTAGTGTCATGCCAGTTTCTTACCCTAAATTTCTGTTCCACTTTAAATAGTGCAACAGTTACACTCTAGTGCCTGAAGAGAATTTGAATAAAAAGCTGACTTCAGTTTTGTCCGCCTTGAATGACCTTAGCCAAGCTGTGCGAAATGGCGGGTGAGGAAAACAAGCTTTACGTGGAAGAAGCAGCATGTACTTGCACTCATCTCCTGTTTGCTCCTGGTCAAGTACAACAATAATGGGCAACGAGTCGCAGACTGAACGGCGACAGCTCACTGGTGTTGGTGAGTATCAAATATCCATGCTAATACCTCAACTACACTAACTCATCTGTGAATCACCCAAATGTCTCAGTTACCAGAGCGAGGAGAAAACGCGAATAGCAACAACTACATATCCACACAGAATTGAAACAGCCACCAAATGAGTCTGAACTGGTCAAACAAGTAACTCCAACAGGGGTGCTTATAGCTTCTTATAGCTAACCGGTTGTAAAATCCAACTCCGTTCTGTTGTACAGTCCACCTCTATTCCTTTGTGGATTCCACAGTTTGCTTGATTGAGTCACCTTAGAAAATCAATTAATTTATCAAGTATTTTAGCCAGAAGGTAAGACCCAAACTTTACATATAAAAACACAAAATCTGACTGTAAATAAACCTATAAAGCTCAGTTTAATTTTGAGATGTAGCCTTACAGTCCACACAGTTTTTGTTTACATTAATTATTAAGCCATGATAACACAAGTTTGCCAAACGCACATGTTTAACATGTAATATATGCAACATTTTGCATTTCTGTTTATTTTTTAATATAGTTCATGTCTAAGAAAATGAGTTACCCCTTTAACAAGCACTGTTGTCTGTTTGAGGAAAAAAAAAATCTGAGGCTTGAAAAACATTTATGAATACAAAACAGAAATGAATAGCAACATAATGAACAAGTACTTGAGTATTCCAATTATTCAGGCCAGCCTCATAAATTTGCATTTTCAATCATCCTGGAAAATTAAACAAATACAACTGCATGTAACAGCTGGTCGTTTTCTTACCAACGATGTCATTGCGTATCTGCTCAGTGATGGGAATAGGCCTAGCAGCATCTGGAGATATGTACTTAGTGAAAATGTTGACAGCATCCCTCTCTATACCTGCAGCAAAGAATAAAGAAAAGAGTGAGAAGAAAAAAATAAAATAAAAATCACACATCTTCACAATTCACCTACATGTTAAAATGTTACTTAGACAAAGAGTGTCTCTTCAAACCGCACGAAACTGCAGCATGAGGTCCATTTCATTTCATATAATGTTGTGCAGGACACATTTTCAGAAACATTACTAAAACACTTGCACTGCACTTCAAACTCACATAGGCACTAGAGAGGCAACTCACATGCAAGTGAACTGCCTTCATGCTGGGTTTTATAGCCCTGCTCAAATGTAGATTCAGGCTTGGCTAATTTTTATGCTAGCTTGTTAAATGCTGACTGTTTAAAAGCCCTGAGCAGACAGAGTCTGCTTCTTCCACGGCTTTTAGCTCAATTGACTTTCTCCACTCACTGCCTTTCTATGCCTGAAGCTTTTTTCCTGTGAACCGTTATGCTAGTGATTTTACTGATATTTTAATTCTTCTGTCAATTGTACCATACCACAAAGGCAGAAAAGGGAGATTTTTTTATGAAAGATGTCCAACAGAATCTAAGACCTGGAAAAAACAGCCGTAAACATCCATGAAGGAATGTTGTACTTGTGATTATGAATACAGTACCAGAAACTGTTTAACACATACTTCAAAATATAGCGCTGTAGGGCTGCAACTAAATATTATTTCAATTCTTGATAAATCCATCCTGTCGCCCTAGCTTGAATCGCCCAAGTGAATCGCTGTTTAATGTACTGTAAATCTTTCTTAATTAATAAAATTTACAAAAAACCGATTGAGTTGTACACATTGACATAGCCCAAGACTGCAGTGTTGATTAAGCAATAACAAAGCACTGTAAATATTCCTGAAAGACTTCCCCTGTGCTACCTGGATAGACGGAGGTAGAAATATACTGAACATCCTTAGAATATGAAATGCTTAAAATATAAAAAAGTGTGTGTGTGTGTGTGTGTGTGTGTGCACACCACATAAATCAGAATGTTGATTACTGATGATTCACACAAGATTGCATGTAAAATATTTGTTTAAATATTAGCTAATCAAACGCTGCACAACTTGGGTCAGTTGCTGTGTTTAGTGAGTTCAAGTATAGTTTGCATGTTGTGCATTTTTCCCCCAACTAAGAGCTTAGTTTAGGTTCACTGCAGCAATTCCTTCTAAACTCGTCACTATATGTAATACCTTGCTATCCAAGCAATTCCCAGAGTGAAAGTGAGAGAAAGTGTGAGCACACAGAGCTAAGGCAAAATAGTCTAACTATTGTGGTCAAACAGCAGTGCTTTAAGCTAAACTCAATACCTGTGTGTATCAGGATTTACTAGCCAACTAAAGTACAGATTATTCACATGAATGCTGGAACGCCAAAGTCTGCTAAAATTAAATAATGACCAAAAGATAGCTGTTGTTTGGTTTATGTATGACCAGCAATACATGGGCAGTGATATGTAAATCTCTCACTCCGCGTTTCCTCAGTCATTTGCATCCAAGGTTAGCGTGTGAATGCTGCCTGAGCGACTAATGCTCTCCAAGGCATAGGCTTGTGCAATATACCATCGTGTGCTGCTTTAAGCTGCTATAGAATATTGTGAAGCCAGACAACATATCAGGAATACATATTCAAAGAAAAAGATTATATATGCTTTTCTTTTGGGCATTTTAATTTTATGGACAGTTTTCCAACATTCATCCAACTTAATGGTTGCTCTGACAGATGTATCAGTTCTACAACTGCGCTGAAGTCCGAGGAGAATGTGTTTGTTTAAATGTCAAACATTTGTTTAAAGAACTGTGTTTTGTTAATAAATTGCAATTCATTTCACTCATAGGTGGAAATTCAACTGCATCCATTTTGGAATGTTTTTATCGATTATACTTATATTCAACAAGGCATGCACTACTTTTTTTGGCCAAAATTAATTCTTGGACTTTTTTCAAGCATTAAAAAAGAAGGTGAATGTATTGTTTTTGCTGTCTATATTTTACTACTGCATATTTTTTCCATATCTGAATATTCAGTGAATTAAAATAATTCAAAATGATATCAAAAACAAATGATATTGGTCATGGTGAAATTTTATGATGCAATCAATTGTTTCCTAAAGAATCACAATTGAACTGAATCGAGGTTCAAACCTCTGTTATATGCAACTCACTCATTCACCAGATCACTCCTTCACCCATTTCTCAGTACTCACTCTTCATTAGCTTGTCGGAGAGCTCTCGAAGTGCGTTGGTGGACTGGCCTTTAACCGGCGTCCCTGACCTGGAGGAGACGGAGGACAGTCGGGTCGGCGTCTCAACTCGGAGTGAAAGTTGCTGGGGTGTTCCAGGCCTCTGGCTCCCCTCACAGCAAATGGAGTTCCGGTGCACAGTCCCAGCACCACCATTAGAGTTAGTGTCTTGGGGGCTTGAGTGGATCCGGGACGGAAAAGGATCCTCTGATTCCCCTCCATCCACTCCTGGGGATGTTGACAGGGCCGAGGGTGAGTCCGGTGAGCCGGGAGAGCCAACAGCAGATGCAGGCTCAGCTAGGGAGCTGTGCTTGACCGAGTTGAGGCTGTGGGCGCGGACTCTGGACCAGCTAGTGGAGCGGAAACTCTCAGCCTCCAGCCAGAAGCGCACCAGGTGCTCTGCTGAGCGCGTCTCCATGAACTGCAGGAAGTATGGAAGGGCCACACCATCGTGCAGGATCTGCTCCACCGTCTTAGAGAGCCGTGAACGCGTCTCCTGCGCCTGGTAGTTCACACTGGAGCGCCCTTCAACACAATTATTTCATATTATACAAACTGGTACTACAATATAAATGACACCTAGGACTAGATGTGCTCTCAAAATCAGGGATTAGAAAAGACACAGGGAAAAAAAGAAAATAAAAAAATAACTACTTATTTCACAGAATGTGATTAAAAACTGGAATAAATTAAAAAAAAGACTCTATCCTTGTCTTGTTGACAGTTTATGAAACTAAGAGGTAGGGCTGGACAATAAAACAATAACAAAAGTAAACTGAGAATGCTGTATATGTGGCACTGGAGAGTGGGAAAACGCCATCTTCCCAAGCTAGCTGTTTTTACCAGCTGGCTAACTTGAAGCAGCTCGCACAGCACAGCACTGCCCAATTGATGTTACTGTAGATCAAACAAGACAAAAAAAGCACTGATTTCAGTTTAAACATACCTAAAAGGAGGACTCTGTCTAGTGTTAAAGAATCACACTGCAGTTCATACTTTTACACAGCGAGCATCCAATATATTGCGGTTCTTCGATCCCTCACACTACTACAATAGAACACAGTAATCCAGATGTCTGCTAGCTTGTGTTTGAACACTGTGATATACTCTGACATGGATGTGGTTGGAGTGATGGCAGTAAGGCGGTGTGATCCATCATTCACGTATCGAGCCAGCTAATGTTTTCTGTTCGTATTAATCTGACGCTGTTGAGAAACTAAACAGTTCAGCACTCGTCACCAGACATCTAAAAATAATCTTTCTTTCTTAAATTATGAACATTACAAAAATTGCGGCCATGATTTTCAAGCTGGTAAAACCAGCTAACCAGAAACTTTCTCCCACTCTTTCATGACAGATTTGTGAAATGCTCCACTGTTTGGCGAGTGTTTATGTTCTGACCACAAAGTATAGTTTAAAACAGCAATTAACCACTCAGGAGCAAAAACTAGCCATCAAACCTGAAAGAAATAATGATTTGACATTTATTGCAATATGTACACATGAATGAGGCCAAGTTTACAGCAGGCAGTAAAGATCAAGGAAATCCACAAACAACCAAGCTGGTGAGTCAAACATCTACAGCGTACACCTGCATGCTCTTACAATTACATAATCTATGTAATGGCATCTTGTGACACCTGGCATGTTCATAGTCAAATAGTTCACATAGAGCTAATGCATAAAAGCCTTAACAGGGCGGAAACTTCCTTCCAAAGTTTTACAAAAGAGACACTTGTCCCTTGTGGACACCATGGAACACCCACAGCAGGACTTTCTTTCGGTTATAGGAGGATCAGCCCAGCAGAGCCGACAATGGCAACCTGTAGCACTGTGATACAATAGCTACTGTTATTCAAAGCACACAATAACAAGCACAGGGAGAAGTCAGTGCAGAGTAGGCTGTGATTGGGTGTCTCCCTTGAGAATGGCCCAACAACGCAAAACTGCCAGTTGTGACGGCTGTCCGGATTTAGCCTGCCCTGCAGCATTCTCCTCTGTTTAGTGCTGTAGCACAAGTTCGACCACACACATGCAGAGTCATGTTGTTTGGTACCATACATACTGAGAGTTGTAAGGAGGAAGATTTAATGGCTAGCATGAGAATAACAGCAGAGGCCAAACTGTACACCTGCTATAACGACTGTGGTTTACACCACAATAATTTAAAGATGGGATCAGCAGTTTTAAGTAATAACACTTTGTAACATTTGGCAAAATTCTCCTCACGTTCTGGCAGCAGTCAATAAAATATATGCTCTGGAGAAAAAAGGTTAGAAAATACTGACCTAGCCAATAGTATAGTGCTAGTTAGAAACATAGCATATTTAGTGTCCAGTGTTAGCTAGCCAGCTTCGTGTGTTAGCTGGTTTATTAGCTTTGTGAATGACTACAAATATCATCATTTTATTTGTGACAACCAATTCAAACAAAATTAGCAACAGTACTGAGGAAGGCAAGGGCAGTATTTGTTTGACATTTGACTTTCAAAATAGCTGGTTTCTTAACTTAAGCCAGTTTTAACAACCTCAGTGGACATCAACATACAACCTGATGCGATGAAGTATTGAGAGTCTCCTAATACAAGCACCGTGGCATTTGGCTGGATGATGAATCTACGATATTAATAAGCAGGTAAGTAAATGCTCAGACACTTGTAAAATAAAATTGTCAAAATAAGATGTTTCCCAATGCAAACTAAGGAAAAATCATGGAGACAAACTTATCATACATAACAGACTATAGTGATGTCATTCAATCTATCACTCAGTCTATGCCCTGAGATTCATTACTGGAAACCCTTACAACACTCATCACTGCACACTTTATCATAAAGTTGATTGTTCCTCCCTAGTCATGCTGTGGGAAACTTCTGGAAACTTCTTTGTTCCATCCAAACGCCATCTTATATTACATTTATGCTCTTTGTAAATAGTGGTATTTATCAGACCCACTCTAACTGGATCACCTGGCAGTTTCCTAGAGTTTTTACTGAACTGGGGAAATCAGCATTTAGGTAAAGTGCACCAGCAAACTGGAAAAAATAACAGGTACATTTATTGCTCTTCTCACTGGCGTTACTCAACTATTTTAAACTTCAAGTTTCTATCCACCTCTACTCAGCCTACATCTGCTTTATTTGATGTTAGTTCTTTTACTTCTCCATGTCAATATTTATTGAATAATTTTAAATGTTGACTTTCTTTTTCTTATAGTTCATTATCTTAGCTGGTTCTTTTACTTACTTTTCATTTGTTTTCAATGTACACAAAACACAGCATTTTGTAACGAAACTCTTCATATACATGGAGCTGGTAGGATATAACACAATGTTACAGGATTATTGTTAGTAGGCTAGCAGGCAGCTGAAGCCATTTCCCTTCACCATCTCCCTGCCATTGCACACAGCGCTGCTCTAATATGATTACTGCAGCACTCTCATGCATGAACACAACACAGTTTAAACACAGAAAGGGTTTCTTAACTGTAAACCAAAGCCTACTCAGTAGTTGTTAAACATGATCAGGTCCTAATCTCTTAAACTTGTGTTTTCCACTCATAGCCCTGGAGTAATTCTCTATTGTACAGAACTGCTATCCTTCTGTAACACGTCTAAAGCCATTGAGGAAGAGCTGGAGATACAGCCTAGCTGTGTTCGTCACTGTAGCGCAAACACTCAACTGTGGAGCGCAAAAGACTTCATTCTACAGGCTGCATTGATTAGTTGACACAGTCAATTACACTGTTTAGGTAAAAAGGAAGACATGGATTTGCTCTCGTGATACACACTGTTGATATGGCTTCTATTGTTTTGTACTTTCACCTGTTATACTGAAAACTTTGAAATGTGTATTGAAATTTCTGTGTACAAAATCCAGGCCAAAAAATATGAGCAAAGCATTTCATATCCTGATTTCTGATTCTGACTGAATAACGGTACCACCAAAGAGAGGAACCGTACAAGCGCATTGATTAACTTGGTTGATTAATCCAATAACAGCACCCCTAATTCTGAATATACATCTGAAGGTATACTGAAAGCAGAAGTGATGTACCCAGGTCTCCGAAGTGCGCTGCCTCCATGTGACTGGGCTGCTTCTTGAGGATGGCCGTGCGGCCACGGGCAAACGAGTCCATGTTAGCCGAGATGGCACTGATGGCCACATGGCTGGGGCCAGCCGCCTCCAGTATGGCATGGTGATTCCGGGAGGGAGAGTTGGGGGACACTGGAGCTGGAGGAAAAGAGAGAAAAGACATTAACAACCAGAGGCAAAAAAAAGTGAGGGATTTGTTACGGAGCATGTAAAGGTGCAAGCAGGGATCAGTGTCGTTCAAAACCTTTCAATATCAATATCAACACCTATGCCTCAACGTTAATTTTTTTCAATACTTTCTGTTGAAAAAGTGGGAGTGGCTTAAACCAGAAATTATTGTAAAGCTGGAAGTAGCTACATTTACATACCACAACGGCTTACAGACTAATCAAGAAACGCTGACGTTAATAACATACAGACAAAATGTAATTTAGACAGTCAACAAGCAGTCCAGACTTTCAAAGAAGCATGCTTATTAGCACATGGATGCTGATAAAACTGACTTTGGTATTAAAACAGTACTGAATGACAGAATATTTTGAGGCTCTGTACCATAAATGCCATAATTCGGTCAGTATCATTAAAGTACTGTATTTCGATACCCGGAGTGCTAGGAGCAAGAATATTTGCCGTGACAATAACATACACGAGCTCCACATTTTCACTTAATATGTCTGACAATACCTGCCTACATTTACTCTCCTCATCTAAAAGCCTGGTAATAAAATATCAAATTTAAATAATGAAAATAATTTCGCAAAGCAAAGGAAAAGCAGATGGGAATGGCACCAATAAAAAAAAAAAAAGACAAAAATTAACTGCTTCCCTCGCTCAAAACTCAAATAATTCTTAGTGACTGTTCCTTAAAACATTGTGACAAATCTTGAGCACCTCAGCGAGTTGGTTAAAATGAAGTCTTATCTATGATATATCAAAGTGCAAATATAAGGGCTACTAAGAGCAGGTTAACACACTTTCGAATAAAGGACATCAAGCCCTGACATTTCTTTCAGCTATATCTACACCTGCTTATAAAAGCTTTCCTATTTGCCAAGGTTGAAACGTTGTTAAGCTTAAATGAACCCATTATGTGGCTTGTGTTTGTGTGTGAGAAGTCTTTTATTTCATAAGTTATATTGATGGAACACTTGGCCTTGTTGAGAAAAACAAATATGCCATTCTGAAATTCCAATGAAGCTTCTGAGTTTTGATCACAGCTGTCAGCAGGGCCGCACAATTGTTGGCACAATATTGACCTTCGCAATACTGATATCGCAGAATGCTACAATATGCAAATGTGAAATAAAGTGTTCCCGTGGGTTTTCTGATGAATCAAGGTATTCACATAATAAAATAAAATAAATCATTTTGTCATAGTACTGGAACCAAATTGCATTATTGATTAACCAGTTCCTTTTTAATAACCCGCAAAATAAGCATATAAATTTAAATCAAATGAACATTTACTTATGCAAACCTTTTCGGATTGTACGCATGAGGGCATCATTCCGCTGGACTGGCCTACTAATAAACAAAAAGCAGAGCAAAAATATGATGTTCGGAACCACTTTTCTACTGCAATGATGTACCATAACGGAAGCAAACATCCACAAATGATAAGAAAGACGACTATTTAGTCCATGTTCTCGGAGAGAATGTGTGATGCGCAGCACCGTGAGGAAATCACACATGGGTAGGTAATATTATAGAGAAGGATGTGGTGGACCACGGCTTTTGAGAGCTTGCGAGGTACACTAAGCCAAAGCTAGACCTGTCATGGCATTTATGCTTGTTTTAACCAGAATGGTAAATATTTTGAAAATACAGAACTTTCAGTTTCTGTTTTCAGCCCCTCAGATAAAACAAAACAAGGTTCTTATGTGGGGCATTTTTAATATGGTTTCAGGCCATGCACTTCATATACACTCTTAAGCCTAGCCTCACCTATCAGTCTTATGGTCCAGCACATTTTTCTACGATCTTGGTGCATTAAAACAGAATTTAACTGACGTGCACTCAAAAGTGAGCATATATCAAGCATTATAAAATGGCTTTAAACGTGGCTTGGTCTATCAAATTTCAGAACCAGAACTATCAACTTTATAACTGATATTTTGCTAAATAACATTCTCGATTTTAGACTTGCCGGTTAACAATTAGTTCCTAAATAATGATGGTCGGTTATCAGTCAAAAGAATTTGAAAAAAATTGCATCCCTACTCACATTACTAGTATACTGTTCGTACCGCACAGCCCTGGCTGTCATAGCACTAAAACTAACTGAAATAATAACACAATGGCCACGTGCTGTGTACATGACGATCATGCTGTCTGTGACTGTCGGTCTGGAGCCCTGAGGCTGTGCAGATGAGCAGCAAGCAGGACAACTGACATTTATCTCAGTGCAGGAAGCTGCAGTATCACTCCAGCCTTTATCTGATCCTCCACCCCATCCTCTTTATAATTTCAGAGCACGCTTCACTGGGTAAAATGTCCCTATTCTGCGTAGCACGGCACCAATTCCCTAAATTATGTTCGCATCTGATGGCACACTTTGTTCCACGACTGTAAAAAGTACTGGAATAAAGTGCTACTGAAAACAGTGCAGGATATAGAGCAATAGTTAGCGATTAAAAGCACAAGAACACCCTAATATATAAACAAACTAACCTGTCAGACCTGTAGGAACTTTTATAACGTGACATTTAACAGGAGGAGCTATAATTGGTACACATGTATTTGAAAAGCAAGCCTAAAAAAAGGGTGCAAAGTTACATTTCCACCTGCCACTGTGGAAGACAAATGAAAACCTAACTGCCACGAAAAGCCATATACAGATACTTTAGCCATCATGTAATTTGCGAAATTACTAATTAGATGCAAAAAAAAAATCCTTTAGTAAAAGAAATGAGTGCTGTGTGCTAACAATGCCAACTGGGCGTGTTTAGGCATGCAAGATGGCACAAAAGCAAACATTTATTCAAACACGTTCCCATCATGTAAAAGCAGACAGAAGGAAGACTACAGTCAGAAATGTACTCACCTTTGCCTGCTTTAGCATCTGCTGCTCTCTCCAGTTCCTTTCCTTTAGCTGTGGAGGAAAAAACATGAGAGATTACACTTCACATCAAATGCGACTGCAGACTGCAGACCTGCAATGGAGACAGAACCACACCACACAAGACCAAATACATCTAAAATATCTTTAAACATGTATATAAAAACACTGGCCTGCAGGACACTGGATAGCTTTCTGCTTTTAAATCAAAGCAACTGACCTTTGTGTGTCCAAAGAAAGTCAGTGCAAGATTTAGGCTAGCTGACAGGCCAGAGGCCTTCATTAATAAAGGACCAATTTAGATGATAACAATAATTATCAAAACACATATCAGCAAACAGTTAATTATTAATATCTTTACAACTTGAAACTCATTCAAGTTTAACACATTACTAATCTAGCAGCGCTGGGTAAAAGATATCAGAGCTAAAAAGAGAAACGCTGTAGTGAGTACTGTGTTCAAGGCCTTTTCATAGTGTGCTGTTAAGCCTGAAGTGTTAAAGGGGCAACAGTCTACTTTTCTTCTTGTGTTTTATTTGTTTCTCTGAGGTCCCCCTGTAATTCATTTTACATGGCCATGTCATATTCAGGTTTAAATTAAATAGGCAGGTTTTGTTACTGTGCCTCTAAGACTGACAAGCGTAAGACCAACCTTCTCTGCGCTAAAATATTCCTTAGAACTTCAGCGTGAGTGGGAGGGGCTAAACGTCTTGTGTGTGTGTGTGTGTGTGTGTGTGTGTGTGTGTATATACATATTTTGTGTGTGTGTGTGTGTATATATATATATATATATATATATAGATATATATATATATATATATATATATATATATATATATACACACACACATATATATATATATATATATATACACACACACACACACACACGTGTGTATATATATATATATATATATATATATATATATATATATAAAAGTTTGTATTTATCCTACAGCAGTTTGTTTTCATGCATGACACCACAAAGACAATGAATTGACAGTGACTGTTTTTGCAGCTGAAGCTGTGTTCATGTGCTTGTGTGAAGATTGTACACACAACTTCGCTGTTTCTATGCCTGTTGAAAGAGAAGTCCAGCATGCAGAAAAAAAACAAAGATCCACAGAATACATGCACTTAATTGCTATATTAAAAAAACAAATTGCATTTAAGTGCATCAGGTTTATCTTTTTCCTCATTCACCACCAAGTTTGCAGTTTTCCATCAGGGGAAGAGATGAAAGGTCACATTATATATTACATCTGGTAAACTCTAACTATAATCTGGACTCCTGAGTTTCTTATTTGTAAAAATGACCTCACTGGCTGTTTAAGTGCAGTTTATACGTTGGAAATTTGGTATTTCCCAGTTTCTGACACGTCTCAATACCGGCTTTACTTTGTGTACATGGATCTCATGGACTAGAGAGTAAACACTATGTTTTTGAAACTTTAACAAATATTACACAAAATTCATATTTCAAAAGAGTGAGGAAAAATCTGTTTTCCATGATATGGGTCATTTAAGTCCCAGCGCTGCCTAACTGGACACTAAACTTGATAATGATGGCTTATGTTCTACTTGTACAGGAAAGATAAGGGAGAGGCTTCAGAACTGTGTCACTGGAAAAATGGGCCTGGCTCAAACACAAAAGCCATTCACAGGGCATATTGTCATGGAGAACAGTGAGGTTGGCGCATTAAAGTTAACGAATAAGGGCTATAAATGAATCTCCATCCATAATAATAGCATAACTATAATATTACAAATAATACAAAATGTATTGGTGTGACTCTGCTGAGAAAAACATCAGTTGTTTCAGAGAATTTCACCTTTCTGATAACCGCTTGAGGCCTGAAGGTGTCAATGCATTGTTTTGCTTATGACTGCATATGTGATAATGTATGAGGGAGAGAAGAGGTGAGAGAGAGGACAGACTTCTGAACAGATAGATGGCCTTGGCTAGCACTTCAGACTTCAGTGTGTTCACAGCAGGGTATACAAGCCCGTCTGTCAGTGATGCAAGCATAATGAACGAATAATGACATTACACACAGTGTGCATAAGTATGTTTCGGCTCATAATATGCATTCTCCCAGTTTCACAGCTTGTTTGATATTACAACAAAGAAACAATATTTGTTGTTTAAACTCGTTGTTACTGTAAGTAACATTGCTGTGTGTCAGGTCGTGACTACATATCAAACTCAAACCGTACTTCTTGAATGAGGTCAACCACAACAGTACAGATATAATGTTAACTAGGTTAAAGAGGAACTCAATCGATTTTTCACATCTCTGTATAATTTAATCGTTAACATGTCAACAAAATCATTTAGAAAGGTAAAATGCTCAGTTCTTAAGAAACCTACTGAGTAAGATTTGTTCACAGTGGTGGTGACAGGAAGTGTGTAATGCCTCTAACATCTCCCTCACACAACGTTATTATACATGAAATGCTTATGAATACTCAGCCTGCTGTCTGAGCCACTGTTTTAGGGTAGTTTTGTGATAAAGTTTTGGTATTAAATGTATTAAAATCAATTTATTTTAATCTATCCACGGTGGAGGAATACATTAATGGTATCCTCGGGCAAAATAATCCCCAAAGAAAGCTTATATTTTCAGATTTTCCACTATTTTACCATCATCAACAATACATATAAAAACGCAGATGACATATTTAGGTTCACTGGTGGTTTAGGATTGTAAATAAAATGGTTATATTCGTGCTGTACACACTGGGACCCCTGGTGACAAATCACCACCACTGTAAAGAAATCTGAGCTTGCAGGTTTCTCCACCAATGAACCATTTGACATCAAACCACTCAACCGCTGAATTATGCAGAACTTTTGAAAAATCGGTGGAATTTCCCTTTAACTAACGTTACCACACGCACACGTCCTCAACCTCGTGTAATTCATCATTAATAACAGTGTATAAACAGTGTATAAATAAGCATTTAGCTAGCAAACACCAGCTGAGGCTGACAGACTACTGAAGACGAAACTGGAATTAGCTTCTTGTTAGAATCCTCCGCTCCACCTTAAATGTGGCAACAGTTACACTAGGGCGCCGGTTAGGGCGCGTGAAATTACTGCTGCAAGATTTAAGGTGGAACGTAAAATCCAAATAGGAAGCTAATGCTAAGCTCAGCTCCGCGCTGCCAGCGTTAGCTGCGGAGCTAGCAGACGTTGCTTAGCAAGCAGGCGCTAGTGCTGCTAGCACAGCGCGCAATCTAGCGGTTTACATGTCGGATTGAGAACGAGGACTGAATGCGGTCATACAGTTCATACACCTGACACGAAGCACTGGTGTGGCAGCTGTAGATGAACCCGTTTAAGAGGGTAAACGAATGTGCTCGGTCCTCGCCGCCCCGCTGGCTCTCCTCACCTTTCCGTCTGAAAAACGCCATGGTCACTTTCGCTGCCCACTCTCAGCTCAGCCACAGCATCTCGCACATCCCCGGCTCCCTTCATCCATAACACTCAGCTGCCGACAGAGCACACGAAAAATCACTTATTCCTGCGGATTTCACAACGCTGTCAAAGCCGAAAGCCTTCCCTTTCTCTCATCGCCATATTGTCAATAAAGCGCCTCTCCTTCCGGAGCTCTGCGGCAGCAGCGCTCTGAGCGGAGTTGTGGGAAAACGCTCGGCAAATGAAAAGCCAGTTACAGCGCCCTAAAAATCTCACTTTATTTTCTTAAATATTTAAAGACACATATTTTAACAATAAAATGATATTTTTTGTTTTATTGCGTGCAGTGGATAAAATTAAACATACGTAAGTGTACGAATGAGGAGCTTTGCGTGCTGCTGTTACAACATTTACCCATTGGGCGGCACACTTGAGCTACTTTCGCAACACTAGGCCTTTTTTTCCAAGGGAATGCAAAATCATTGCAAGGGAATTTGATTTTTTTTTCTTTTAAATGTATAAACGGTATATTTTTATATCAACATAATGTGCCCTTGGTGTTCCCTGCATAGTCGTTTAAACTTCATACAAACTTTGTGAAACTTTTCTCTTAAAGTTTTACTCTAAACACATTATGATTATGAATATATAGGAATATTAACCTTCTCTTTAAAATTCATTTTGTACATTTAATATAATCTTCTTTTAAGTAGAGATTTTGACATGTCTAAGGTGCTGCATGGTTAAGCTGAAAGACTATTTTAAGCGGTTAATCATAATATCATTCTATTTAAAGAAGTCCAATAACTGCTGTCCACACTGTCATACTGGAATAACTGCCCCTCTATTTCTCATTCCGCCTCACTCACACACCCAAAGCCACCCTCCACTGTGAAATATAAGCTTAAGTATTTATTACAGACACACTGTTTATGAGACAACTGCTGTTTTTGTAAATATAAAAAGTCCTTGTCTGTCTTGTAATATTCTGGTCCACCTTTTCATGTTTTTGTCCACTCTATCATCTTCATGTTTTATTAAAATAAATCTATAATTCTTCACAGGTAAACAAACCATTATAATTGATTTATTATATATGTGAGTGGGCCAAGAAATTGTATTCCATCTTTTGTTCAAAGATGTTTACTGTTATTATTGTTTGGGGAAAAAGGATGTCTGATGTGGATACACTGGGAAAGAAACTGACTTCATAACCAAATCTATAATGATAAAAGATTTTGAGTAGCCATAAAAAATACTGTTAAAAATGGGACACAATCTCTCTCAGAAAATGTCTCTGCAAGTTCTACAACACTTTAGAAACATGATTTATGATGATGTGTTTGTATACGAGTGTGGCTTGCCACTGTAATACAAAAAGTGTTCAAACTTGACACAGATGTTTTCTGGGTAGTCTACAGTATATCTATACTATAAATATGATGAATATTCAAAGGAATTAAAATATTAAGTCATTTTATGAAAGTTATGAGGTGCTAAAGGCACAGCATATTGATAATAACCCACCACTGTTGGCATGACGCCTGCTTTTCCTTCATAAAAGGACAAAAGAAAAAAAGGACAAATGATTTGAGAATTTATTTCCTTTTTATTATTGCATGAATATTCTAAATATTCCAACGCCAAAATGTTGCTTGTGCGTTTTCAGTAACAGGGAAATGCAAAAAAACAACAACAAAAAAAAAGAAACAGAACAAAGCTGAATATGTTCTGTACTCTGTGAATTCCCTTAACGTTATGTAAAACCGTTGCAGAACTAGAGCTTGCCCACTCCGAGAGCCTCCTCCTTGGAAGTGCGTGAAGCATCAAGTAACGTCCGTGTCAAAGACACTTCGGAGGTCACCATCATCGTTGCACTGCCAGGGAGATCGACAAACGGAGACAAACAAACTGCCGGAAGGGTGAGGAGAAAGAGAGAGGTAAAAGAGAAAGTGAGTGAGAGAGGGGGAAAGAGAGAGGAAGAGAGAGAGTTATTGATATATCTGCATCCACAACACAAAAAAATCTAATTCAACAAATATTACACTAGATTTGACCTTGCAATGTGATTGGCTGAGTGCCAGTATATCCTGGTATACAGTACTATGCAAAAATCTTAGGCCATCTGAAAAAATTAAACGTGAAGCTGTTTATCTGGGTGGGAGGTTTTGGTTGATTGGAAAAAAGCTACCATTACAATAAATACAAATAAATATCAACACACGTTGATTTTATCCACTTGCAACTGAGATATAACTTACTTGCTTTTTACTGTAGTTATATTTATTCATCTTTAGCTTAATGTAGTGTTTTTAAAGACAGAAAACACTGCTGAGGAAACAAGCAGATACAGTGTCACTGATGCAAAACACTGCTCATTTAAACCATCCAAATCTATTTGAGTGCTAACAACACCATTTCTGGAGAATCTTCAGCCTGCTAAACATGACTGAGAGGGTGGTCAGGTTAATGTGGTGCTTCACTTCTAATGATTGTCAATCACTAACTAACTATTATCATGGCTGCCTATGTCTTTTGCATGGTACTATATCTCTGAATCTCCTAATAAGATCAAATCTTTTTTATGTATCAGTCCGCCTTTTTTGCCAGTTTGCTGTTTCTGCATCATTATTAAGCCAACAGAGACTGATCATAGCAATCTAACAGATTTAATTATAGACAATGATGATGAAGAAATGTAAATGTATATACACTAGGTTATTATGTATAATAAACACTAGGCTGTTGAATAAACAATGTACCTCCATATAGAGCTATTTTTCTTTGTAGAATTACGATATGATCGCAATAATATACTCAAGGTTGGGCTATACTATGAGGTATTGATTGGTGTGCTGCAGTCGTAGGCAGGTGTATTTTTGTGTAAGTAATGTGTTTCTTACCTCTAACATCAGCATAGCCTCATTTACCCATGGCCTTCTCAATAGCACTCACAATCTTGGCCATCTTCCGTTCACTGTCCACGAAGCCATCACCATTCTGTAAAAAATTATGCGTGTTATGTGTAGATTTCGTGCTGGCATTTAAACAGGCTGTCAAAACGCAAACAAAGCAGCCAGCAGCTAAACAGTCCTTTTATACAACAGAAAAATAAATCTCCTGAAAGGAGTGTTTCACTTGATTGCTCTGAGAAAATCAGGGAAAATGTGTTTTGTAAAGTTTGTGCTGTAAAGATCGGAGCACCAGGGCTGTTTTACATTAAAACGCAGCATAAAATAACCTGCACACACTCATAACTAGTGATGGGCATTCCAGTTCTTGTGAGTGAACCCGATCAATCAGCTCAGATCACTTTCTTATCAATGCAGACATGTTAATATGTGGTTAATGATGTTTTCACTTACTGTAAGGTAACTTCATAGTCCTGTGCTGTTTGAGGCTACATTTATGATGCAATTGTATTGGATTCATTCTTATTTTTTATGATACCTGATCCATTATTTTCTGCTGATATCTGCCCAACAGCCAGTATCAGATCAATGTCATCACTAATCTCTCTTTATGTACTGATGAAATACATAAAAACTGTAATATCTTCATGCAAAATCAAAATTACACACCTTCTTTGAGTGAACCAGCTTGCCATTCACCTCCACCTCAAACCACCCAGATGTTGTGGGTGTGCTCTCACCAGACTGCAAAGAGAAACATAAATAAGCATAATAAATAGCAAATAACAAAACTCAACTCAAACTGCTTTAAAGAGGTATAACAATATATTGACAGATATCAATGCATCAATTCATACCAGTCAATAATAATTTCACAGTATTACAGTATTTTCTGTGTGCAGGTCAGCAACCACGTTATACTACCATGTGCTAGCTCTGAAATACCTACAAGCACGTCAAACACCCAGCTAACATCAGACAAGACTCAGGTTTTGTCCAGACTAACACAGGTACATTCAAAGACACATGTTTTTCCTCCATTTTGGCCATCCATCCACACAGAAACAGTATTTTAAACACCAAAATAACATCTTTTTAACAAAGCTCTCCAGGGCAGGATATGTTGTTTTCACACTGCTGTGGAAACTATGAAAACTTCATAGCTCAAGTCATGTGCGCATGCTTAATACAGGCATTTTCTTATCGTCTTAAGGTGAAAACTCACTGAAAACAAATGTAACAACACTAAAGTAGCAAGAAAACTTTCTGTCATGAAAATTGTGTTCTCAGAAGTAACTGTATTAGTGTGGACAAGGCCACACTGACCAATCAGAAGTCCACATTCGAAAGCACATTTTTAACAGAATACTTAGGTAACCAGTACTAATGATGTACTAACAGAGAATATGTAGTGAGGAGCACTGCTACTCAGTAATGTTTTCAGGGTTTGTCAAATGCTAGAGCGTGCTCCTGAGTGAGTCCAAAACAAATGGGGTGCTGTAGAGCTTTTGTGCAAAATTATAATTTTTTTAAAGCTTAAGCATTTTTATAGAGGAAAAACACAGAACAGCATGAAATATGTCAACAATGTAACTGTTGTTATATTTTTGAACGCTTTTAAACTATACAGGCGCCTCATACACGTTCATTGCGTTTCACAGCCAATGAGCTGCTCCACTTGCCAACCTGTCAACACTCAATAGCAGTATGCTGTAGAAAACTGCTGTAGAAAAAATATACAGGTATGCTTTCTTTCATTTTTTAAAGGAATACATCCCTCTACTTTCCAAAATTAAAGGAAGGTCCTGCACAAATGGTTAAAAGCAAGTTAATTTTTTCATTTTTAGTCGTTTAGCTCCATTCATCCCATTCATTTGCAGTCATATTTTTGATATAACGAAAGAAACAGGAAGTGGCCAGACTTCCCATAAACTGGTTCTGGTAATAATCACTCTACACCACAAGGGGGTGGTGCAGTACCCTCAGCAACCCTTTCAGGCCCTGACCAATTCATAAATATCAGTCACCTTATCAGAAACATTCCCTGATGTACAGGAAAATTCAACTGATTCTTGAAAATCTCTGCATAATTAAATCATTAGAATGTAAACAAAGTCATTCAGAGTGGTTTGGTGTGATATGCTCCATTTTAGAGAACCTTACTGAGCCAGAGTTTTTCCATAATGGTGGTGATGGGAGCAAGACATCTGTAGCATTTACTGCCTCTAAAAGAAAGCTCTAAAATAAAGCAGTTACAAATATGTTGACTTTGTTTTACAATGGTTTTGAGAATATTCTTGCTTGTGACTCACTGAGGTCAATATCAGAGTAAGATTTTCAGAGATTATGGGTTCTGAGATTACATATAAACCCACGTATCAGTACTGTAAAGGACTGTCTAGTACAAGGGTGTCCAAACTATTCAAAGAGGGCCAATTAAAATCTGCCCGTGGGCCACATTTGGCCCTGGGGTCGGCCTTAAGACGCCACTGGTCTAATATGGTACAAAAGTGTCGAAAAACTTGATTTTTACACCCTGTAGGCAAAAACAGAAGAGCCTACATCTCTACATCAAAACAGAGATTTCAGAAGAGGCCACATCTTAAGTCATCATCCATTACCCATCACTCACAGCCATTCTTACCAGTGTACTAAATAATAGGTTTAGGTCACTTACAATCTCAAGGTCGCCTGGAAATTCACCCTCAAGCAACGTCTTGAGTTTGGTGTACTGTAACCCAGAAACTCAAATAATCAATAAGAAATGCAGAATAAATACAACATGACTTAACGTGTGGTACAGAATGAAACATACCTTGGGCCTGTACCCTCATCCACCACTTAGGAAAAAATGAATAAACAAAAACAAACATATATTAATATCAGGTTTTAAAACATTTTTACATTTGAATACACTTTTTAATCTAAGCAAAATGTGCTCATATTTAAAGTTTATAAAGTTTATAATTATGCAGAAAAGTGCCTTGTTGACAAATTTCCTATTCTTTGCATATTAAAACTACTAATATATGAACATTGAGATCCAGCCTTTTAAAAAAGTGTTGTATGTATTAGAAATAAATAATTTTTAGAAAGCTTTAATTATAGACTTCCGAGACTGACATTACCAGTAGTAAGGAGGTAAACAGAGCTGTAATCGCAGGCTTTGGAGACGCTGGTCTCATTATGTTTTAATAGGACTGACTGGGCGACGAGGCTGAAGTTGGCTTCTTTTAGAATTTTCCGTTCCACCTTAAATGGCGCAGCACTTACGGCAGTCTTATACGAAGCAGCGACCCAGTAAAAAAGGTAACTGATGCATCATTAAAGGTGGAACAGAAAACCAGAATAAGAAGCTGGCAAGAAAGAAGAGCATCTGAATCAATTTTCCCGTTCCACCTTAAATTGGTGCATTAGTTACATTCTGCTGCCTCAGGCAGCCAATTTCAGCCTCGCAGCTACTGCAGCAACAATACAGGTTTCCAGAAAGTACCAGTGCGACCTGCTTGGCTGGTTTAATATCGTTCATCTATCGAGCTTTCGTGCTTTTTCAAGTAAAATAAAGTGCCAAAGTGGAAAGCTACGGAAACTAGCAATAAATATCCGACCTGTGCTGTCTTCTGTGTTCAGATTGGATTGCTAAAACGAGCCGGTTTCGACTGTTACAGAGCCACTGAACTCGGTTTCCACCTGCAACCAAATACGATTCTGAGCGCTTACTTTTTTCTGCCGGCTTGTTCCTGTGATATAAATAGCGTTAGGGTGACCTACCAGTAGATTATGTGAATTTTGACGCCCATTGCTGCAGTTGTGACAGTCCTAGTCTGGCCCAAAAAATGCCTGCAAGGAGCAGTTTGTCGAAGAGGAGTAGGCAACGATGTGGCGGGTCTCGGGCCGATTGTCTTGGTTGTTATGAAATAAGCGAGGCGGAGCGAACGGAGCATTTTCTAAAGGCCAAAGAGCCACGAAACAACAAGCAAGAGGCTCCACTTCATTCCACTTCCGGAACACGTTAGAGGCCCGCCGGACAAAGACTACTCAAATGGAATATATGTTGAAATCTTTATTAGAAGCCGTTTTTTGCAAACAAAATTCGTATTTTATTACTGTGTTTGTGAATATACGTGACTGGCCTGAGTGATCCACAAAGACTTTACATTCGAGGTACATTCTGTGATCACTGTAGAGGATTAAAAAAAGCATAAAGATCATAGTTATTTTATGAAGGGGTAAAATGGTCTCTGTTTACACTGCCTGTTCCTAAAAAGAATGTACGAATATGTAACACAATTAAATTGATATAAACAAAAACATTTCAAAATCAGTTTTAATGACATTTTTCGTGACATTTTACAGTTCTTCTGCCATTTGGCATTTCGTTGAACGACAGTCTAAATTCTCAGTTATTTTCGAATGTAGATAATAGATCTGAAGGTCGATAAACATAAACACGCAGAACGCATTTTTCTTTCATAATAATGTTTCATAAGCTATTCTGATGTGCACCATCTTGCAATTAGAACTGTCTTTGGCTCCTGTGCTTTGGCTAGATGAGATCATAAGATCAAATTAGAATTTGGGCAAAAGTTTTAAAATGTAAATATATATACTCTGTGTTGACTTTTTACTTAATATTTTATAGATAATGGTATTGTTGTGGTGCTGTTGGAGTGTATACAAACATCTGTAATATTTTCTGTGCACTTTCATTTTGACATGTCTGAATGTTTACTTTAAATGCATTCTTGAGGCCATAAATGTGTGAGATGTTTTCTCTCATCTCAGCCACTGTTCATCCGCTTTGACTCTTATACGTTTACAGATAAGTCTCTATGCATTCTCACAGTCCTCTTGTTTTCTATGTTTGAGGCTTTGCGTCTTCTTTTGGACGGAGGCACCAGGTGGGAAGGGAGCTTTGGTGGAAGCCCGAAGCCCTCCAGCTTCACCTCAATCAGATGGCTGGCCAAGGCAAACTCCTCATCGTCCAGCATACCGTCACAGTCCACATCCGAGAGCTTCCAAATTCTGCCCAGGACCGAGCTGGGCAACTGGGTTCTGACCATCCAGTCCTTCACCTTGGTCCCACTCAGCTTGCCCTCATGAGGAGAAAGGTTGTAGAAGATCTCATCATATTTAGGCTTATCTTTTGAGACCACCCAGCTTTCTCCAGATATCTCGTCACATTGTCCACTGGGCCCTGTATAATAGAAAGGGTTTCCTTCAAAAAATGGTCCTCTGTCCATCCCTAGAAAGACACCGCCTTGAACTCCAGGTTGGTCAGCTGCCTCTATCTCCTCCTGCCGCAGGAGAGGCATCAGCTTGGCAATGTCGGTGGTCAAGAGCTCATCCAGATTAGCCATGAGTTTAGGCTTTAGAACTTTAAATTTGGTGAAGTCACGATTCATGAGTCGCTCCTGCCAAAGTAACACATAGAAAAGTTTAAAAAAACACAAATCTTGTATTTTAGTAATGTTTTTAACATGCCCTCATGACTTGGTCAGGCATATATTTTAAAATAGTAGGGTAGGGTTGTGTCAATAGTCCAGGCTGGTGGAGGTGGTGTAATGGCATAGGAAATGTTTTCTTAGCATATTTTGGGCCCATTAATACCAATCAATCATTGCTTGAATGCCACAACCTATTTGAGTATTGTTGCTGACATGAGCATCTCCTCATGGTCACAACTGACCATCTTTTAATGGCTACTTTCAGCATGATAATGCACCATGTCACAAAGCAAAATTCATCTCAGCCTGTCACCAGATCTGAATCTAATAGAACACCTGAAGGTGTGGCAGAACAGGAGATTCGTAACATGAAAGTGCACCTGGAAAATCTGCAAGAATTACGTGATGCAATCATGTCAACATGGACCAGAATCTCAAAGGAATGTTTCCTTGTGGAATCCATGCCAAGAAGAACCAAGGCTGTTTGGAGAGCAAAGGGAGGTCCTGCCCAGTGTTAGCATAGTGTTCCTATTAAAGTGTTCAGTGAGTGTATGTAATACATTTGAGATCCATATATTGCTATATACCAATTTTACCCGTATGAGTAAAGAGATTTGTCGGTCTTTTTTTCAGATTTGAAAAGTAAATTGTTTCAAAATCCAATGATTTCTGGGTAAGTTTGTTTATGGTATTAACATTAACTTGAGCTCTTGCCCCTCCAAGGGCTCAACAAGTGTATCGTTTTTACAAAGGAAAATTGGGGGCAGAGGTTAAATGCAAACGCTCACTTGATAAGTTTGATATGAATTATAACAGACCTGCATCTTTGCACAGTCAGGAAAGTCTCCAGGTGAGATCTGATGCTGCATTTGGATCCTGGAGAAAATGACTGGAAGGTCGTATATTAGGTCCCTCTTTTTGTTGTCTCGGCGGAAGATAAGTGGCATCTCTTCCTTCAGGGAGCTGATGATGTGAGCATGAGCCTGGAATCAGAGGAAGGCAGAGGGATCAGCTGCACTCAAGGAGTCCATGTAAAATGTCCAAAGAAATAGAAAAAAGAATTTTCTTACTACAGCAACAATAATTTGAAAAAAAAAATCTCTGCACACTTTATATATCAAAGCTCCCTGGTTTATTTGTGCATTATTGCAGCATTATTTTAACCTCTAGAGTCTGCATCTGGCAAAACATCCATGTGAAGAAGGACACAGTGTCACTGATGCAAAGCATTACTCCTATAAAGCATCAAGAGCTAATTGACTGCTAATGGTGCCCCCTTTTGGAAGTAGTTTAGGATGCTAAAAATGAGGAAGTGAGTGAATTTAAAAGCTATTTCAATGAGGTGCTTCACAAGGTTATATGAGGCAGACAGTGACATCACAACACTACCCACCCACCAAGAGTCACATGGCTGAAAACACAAAAAAAAGACTAAAGCTTGCAAGTATGCAAAAGTTTGTGAACCCTTGGTCAAATTATGTTTTACTGATTTTCTAAGTGAAAATAAGTTAACATACCCTCTGCAGAGAACACACTACTGCACATTTGAATGCACACTTTACTTTCACTTTTACTGGCTGAATTGAAAGCTGCACTATGTAAAATTTGTTTTGTTAAACTTGAAAGAAGTAGATTAGTAAGTCAGGTGCAAAAAACACACTAAAATACGATGTGCATGCACTACTGTGAGTCACACTGTAAAGCCTAAAATAATAATTTAAAAGTCAGAGGCCTTTGGGTCAGATTTTGCAGGAATTTTTTCAGACCACGTCATAATTCTTTGTGCATTAACATCACACGCACAGGCTCAAAAAGAAGGTCCAGCTGGATGTTTAAGTCTCAAACCCAAAATCAACATCATACTGATGAAGACATGATGGCAATAGTAGATCATTCACTCACATCCTTCACCAAGTTTTGACTGAGTTCTCTTTGAATGCTCTTTGAATTTACTCACAATCATCATTCATATGCTAGGGGAAGAGGTCCAAAGCACAACCAACATTACAAAATTACAAAATGTTCTTCCACACATTGTTTGTAATTATATATTGCCACCAGAGTCTAAAAATCCCCAAAACTTACAAAGTGTAGCTTTTTTTGATATGTTAAACTAAAAAAAATGTGTTAATTTATTTTTATTTGGAAATCAACAAAATATATAATTTGACCAGGCGTGTCAAAAAAATTGTATGCAAAATTTTCCATTCAACTGTGCATATAAGCTATGCAGTAATGAGTTAAAAATCATGATTAATGAGAAAAATGAAACTGTTCTCTAAAATAGCAACATCAAGTGAAATGTACACCCAGAGATAAACAATGCATAAGTATAAAATTAGTTAATAATAATAAGCTACATAAATTACATAAGCTGTTATAATAATAAGTTGATAAGCCACTTAAATAAGAGGACCATTATAAAAAAAAATGTCTTGATATCTTAATTGTCATTGAGCCTGTTTAGTAACAAGGTGTTCAGAGTATATATCCAAAAGTATTTATACTGTAAAACATAAAACACTGAGAACACACTTTTTGGGTATTTTGTACAGCAACAATCATTTCCCATGGAAAATGAATGATAGAACTTGGAAGGAAGCCTCCCATTTTGAATGACATGACAAAGCAAAACATACAATACAACGAGGAAGTGGGTTGTTTCTGTAGTCAGCAGGGACCTTTCTCCCAGACTGTTGTTTGCCATCTTTACCGTCTCTAGAGAAAGCTGCTAGGAATGCTATTGTTGAAAATGACACAGCATGTTTTCTTAAAACCAGTTGCCATGAGACAGAATGAAGCTCAAAATGATAAACAGAGCCAAACAATCATCTGTAAGAACAAATAGGACGTTTTATTCATCTTCATTTTAAACTACATGAAGACGTCTCATGTTTTGTATGTAAAGTATGAACTTATACAATATAGATTGTGGACATTAAAATGTATTTTTAGATGCTTTCTTTAATATTCGAAGTATCCCAGGAACAAGAAGGAGGTAGTTCAATAACAAATAATACTCGATAATTTGCAATCATTTTCCGTCAATGTATCCACCTCAACATTTGATCACTACTTTTTAAAGGGCCCATATCCACATATACCTTTTTCTTTTAGATCAACTAATAATGCTTGTATGGCTTTATGTACCAACAACAGTCAGAAATCATATTACATGACCATTTTTCAACCTCTCTTCAACCTTTAGAGTTAAACAGGCTGGTTTTTACAGTGCCTTTAAGACTGGTATATGTAAATTAGCTCAGCTCTGATTGGCTGTTCTGTACTGGGCCTCATTCAAAAACCAGTCTAAGCTGAAACACTCCTTATAACTCCAGCGTGAATAAGCAGGGCTAAACTGTTGTAGGCTGAATTGGACAGATATATGTAAATGGGCTGTTTACTGTTACATCTGTGAAAAAAAACATGAATTCAAAATGAGCTGTTTTTGCAGCTTATTGTGAAATTACAGTGATTGAAAACTTTTGAACATTAATGTATGTGCAAGCTGATACTTTAGCAGACACTGCTGCGACTGATAACTTTACCTTACCCTCACAAGGCGAGCCCTCTTTACCAGGTCATTAAGCTTTCTCAGGGCGGAGTTGCGAGGCAGGTTTTGGATATCTGCAAACAGGTCTTCTTCCTCCTGCTGAAACAGCCTGCGGTTGTCTGTCTTCCTCAGAGGAGCGGACCAGAAGGAGCCGATGTAGACCCTCGGGACCTCTGGGGTGTGGAACACTTTGCCCAGCGACCACATGAGGGCACCATACACCCTCATCAGCTGCTGAGAGTCCACCATGTCTGCCTTGTTCAGTACCACCCTCAGCTTGTCCTCATTGCCCCGCAGGGCTGTGATGGTGCGGGAGAACTCATCAGACAGCTCCAGCTTATGGGCGTCACACAGGAGGATGATGCGGTCCACATGCTCCGCAAACCAGCGAAGAACCGCTGGGAAGTCATATCCTGGGCCAAGCAATAAAACACTGTACTTACAATTCCACTTAATTAACAACACTCAATTCTATCACTATTTTAATAAATTTTTTTGTTATGATATCAAACCTGATGTTTAACATTTGAAAGAACAAGAAATCAAATGACTGGATTTTTCTTTAGCTTGTAATACGGTATTTAGGCCAAATGAATACAGCATGTCTAACTAGAACAGATCTTTGTGGTAATGTTTGTGTTGAAGTGACAGTTTGGCCCCAGAACAAATTTACACAGCCAAGACATATTTGGTGGGGTTTTGCACTGAATATACAAGGCTAAAAAAGCTAACAAGCCATGGAACCTTTATTTTTTTTCCCCTTGAAGCCCACTTACAACATCTGTGTGGTTTTATGTTCCAAAACATTCATAATTCAGTTTTATACCACCATTTTCCAACCTCTCTTTATCCCTTAGAAATAACCAGGCTGTTTCTGTTACTGTGCCTTTAAAACTGAAATATGTAAATAAGCTCTGTTCTTATTGGCTGCCCTGTATTGTGTTTCATTCAAAAAGTCCATGATGACATAGTCCAGGCTGAAACACTCCTTCAGTGTGAATGAGTGGTGCTACTCTGCTGCAGACTGAATAGGGAAATGTGGTTTTTGTGACATCACAAAAACAGAAAATTTTAAAGGTTGCAGATTAATTTCCATATATATGGACTGTATGGGTCAGAGTGAACAAGATATTTTAAAACTTTTACTACGTTTACATGCTACATCAAACTTCTTTATTTTAAAAAAGTCAAGAATTTCTTATTTTCTATGATATGGGCCCTTTCACTGAACCAATTAATACACAACATATATTTAAAATTCAACCATGGGGTACTGTTTTCCCCATATGCGGAGCGTTGTAAGGCAAAATAGTCCCCAAAGAAAAATGTTCCAGATTTACCATTATTTTTCCATTATCAATAATACATTTAAAAACACAGAAGATACATGTAGGTCCTATGGGCATTTAGGATAGTAAATAAAATATCTAGATTTGCATTGTAGACATAGCCGCAACGCTTGGTTCCTATAACCACTACTGTAAAGAAATCTGAGACAGTAAATTTCTCTACTGCATTTCACATTGTAACATTATAAATGAATTCTGTCAACGATTAAATTCTGCAAACATTTTGAAAAATCAGTGGAATTCCTCTTCAAGTAATCTCAAATAGACTTGCTTATGTGGGTTCTGACTCTAAAATATATCCATAAAACTGGACAACACAGATCTATAAAACTTATGCAGTTTGTTCATGTCTATCTAGTTTGACAATGCTAACTGGGATAAAACACTAGTGCAAAACAAAGATTAAGCATACCTCAGACACCAAATACGTCTTGACTCATCATTTAGGGAAATGTCAAATAATTATTTGCAAGCTATTATGTAAATGGTTGATCTTAATGCTAGAATGCTTTGGGGAAATGAGGCCCTTTCTTTTGGCTTGAGCTGGGAACTGTGGGAAAATGTACAAAATCTCACAGCCCAGACTGGGAGTGCTGACCTAACATCAGATTCCTTTCCCTCTTTATGGTGATTAACGTCTCAAAAACAGGTCACAAATCACAGATCAGCATTTCCACTTTGAGGTGCACTGTGTTTTATGGCAAAGAGTGTAAAAGATCTGATCTTAGACCAGTCAAGGCCTTGACTTCCCCAGCAGTTAGTAATGGGCAGGTATTAACTTATGTATGGTGAGGATGACATCAGTGAGTAAGAATACAGCCCCACCCATGAAAATGACTTGCAGTTGTACTGCATAAAAAAGACATGCTGCAGGGTTTGGGCATGACAAAAGAAATCTGTCAAAAGGCCCAGTATGAAGTCAGTAAAACAAAGTAATAGAAAAAAAAAATTTAAAATGCTTCACCTAAAAAGCTAACTTTCAAGAAAGGCTAATAGGAACCAGCTAGCTATGTGCAAATAAGACTGTAATGCTAATTTATACTCTTTCATTCTCGTATTTTTGAGTAATCTATCCCTTCTATAATATAAATCATATTTGTTTTGCATATTTTTCAGTTGTTGACCTTTGTGAGCAATCAAGTCTAACCTTTAGCAGTCATAGCTAAGGCGAATTGCACTAATTTATCAACATTTCTGCATAACAAAATGGTTAAGACGTTAACAAAGTCAGATTACTCACAGCAGTGGTGATAGGAACCAGAACCAGAGTTTGAAGCCTCTAAAAGATCCCTCACAGAACGTTATTACATGAAGTGGTTATGAAAACATCATCTGATGCCAGAGGCACTGTTTTATGATAGTTTTGCCATGAGATTAAAGCGCAATCTAGATATGGCACTGTTTTACCATTATCAACACTGCATATATAAACTCAGAAAACACATGTAGGTTCACTGGTCATTTTGGTTAGTAAATAAATAAAGTAAGTAAAATGGTTAGCAAATATAATTGTAGACATTGTGACCACTGGTTCCTATCAGCACCTCTGTAATGTATTCTGAATGGATATGTTTCTCCATGATGAAGCATTTCACATCAAACCATTCTAAATGACTTTGTTTAACTCTCAGTAAGAAAACTTTGCTGACTTTTTAAAAAATCAGTCAGACCCCACCTTTATAGTATACGCAGAATATAAATTGATTGTAAATGTAACTCATCGTACAACTCACTATGTAATTAAATATGTAATTATTGACTTCTAGGTGTTAAAGATCTTGACTTCTAGGTGTTAAAGATCAATCTGAATCTTTTATGTCCATGGCCTAGAAAATCCTCTACTGTATATTTCTGTTGTGTCTTGCCTCTGCTTATCCTTTTCTCAGAGCTGGATAAAATTCCTGGCGTGTCAATGATGCTGATGCTCTCCAGGACCTGGCTTGGAAAGTGCACACACTGGAACCTACAGAAACAAGCAATCAGTGAAAACTACACTGAAATACTCATGAAGGATTGACTTAACGTCTATTTACATATGTCATTTCATGCGTGTCTTATCTGGATAATGTCCAGATAAAATTAAGTCACACTACATTCACACCTGGCCACATAAATGCATCTCTGTTAAACAGATAGAAATCCGATTTGCATCAGTGCTGCCTTTCCCAACGTTATGCAAATTCACGCAATTCTCATCCAGAAATTCCTGACTTGATTCTGGGCAAACTTTGTTTTATGCAGTTATTCTATGACAGGTAAAATAAGAAACTAGCTCCAGTTTCTGATGTCAGAACAGGAGCTGTTTTTGCATTTGACAGCAGCAGTTAGTTGGTATTTTGATCGCTTTTTTTACTTGTTTATGTTATAATCTGATAGAAATTAAATAATTATTTTCAACCTCCTCATTTCTAATTTATATGTCTTAAACGTCCACGCCTCAATGTTCCAAAGTTTGGCAACTCTGGCACTGTGAATGTCTAACATCCCAAAGATGACGCATAGCTAATCACTCTCTATCCTGCACCACCCTTTCTCAAGAGTCTACTCTGGTTCCACAGTCACTACTTCTGTTACAGGTTAATGGCTGCAGAGCCACACCTCAGTAGCAGATATTTTTCTCCTCTACTGGGGCACTGGCCACCTGTTCATACACTAAGTTGCTAGGTCCCAAACACCTACATGCAGATCTAACAAAATGGCCAATGAGTGTTACTACAAGGTAAATGTTTCTAATAAACTGGCAAATCAGTCACATTTGCTCTCACTCACCGGTTCATGAAGATGTTTCCAAAGGGGCTGAGTTTGCGGAAGGGTTTGTTGGGGTCTACGACGAGTGCATTGCCTGGGATGACCCCCCTAATGTCCCCATGCATTATGGCAGTGAAACAGTCAGTTGTGGGTTCTGGACCAGTCCTGCCTCCTGGATAGTCCTGTTCAAGAAGATATCTGAAAATACACACACCCAGACAAAACACAACGACATATACAACTGCTCAAAAGTTCACCTGTCATATTAATAATTGTTCTTATTTTACTCAATGATGATTTTTACAGTGTAGATATTTTAAACTAGACATCCAAAGGGTATTTTAGATGCCTTATTCAATATTTCATAAAATGAACTTACTAAAAATGAAAATATCTTATAAAACTAAATATAATACATCATACTGCATTCATTCATTAATATTAGCTTATTGCTCTAGCCTAAAAAAATTAAGATCAGCCTAAGGTCATCCTTAATTTAACCTACTTTTTTATTTTCTTAACCCTTTAATGTCCTCACCAAGAAAAAAGCAATGGATTTTGGGCAATAATAAAAACAATTGATGTTTTTTTTTTCATTTTCTGACCCCACAATTTTTTAAATATTCAAGTCTACCAAAGGGTCAAGATGGCACTTTGTGGCATATATAGTGACTCCGAATGGTTGAGCATACATTAAAGGGTTTTAACTTAGTTTAGCCAAAAGTTCTCCTTTAAAAAAATGTAATTTTTTTTTGCAGAAGTCTGAGAGCACAGAGCAACTATACACTGTGTATTGCATGCTACTCCCAGTAGCAGTATATGGTGTAGTATCTAATACGTGAAAAAAGCCGTGTGCCATTTTACAGGGTTTTCTGCCCATCTTCAATGCAAAAAATGTCACTTTGGACTCGTCTGTGTTTTAATTAGTACAGTTTACATTAGTTTACATTAGTACACTCTTAAAGAAGATTGTTCTTCAAGGGTTCCTTGGTAAAGGTAATGCTTCTAATTTAGAACCATGAGTTCTATTTAGAACCATTGGCATGCTTAAATGGTTCTTTGCAAGGTGAAACGGTTCTTCAGATTGATGGAGAATGTATTGTATATGGTTCCTTATAGAACCTTTTTGAAAATGGTTCTATACAGTACCAAAAAGGGTTCTTCTATTGTGACAATGTCAAGCTTGTAACAGTAACAGAACATTTTTGGTGCTATATAGAACCATTTTCAAAAAGCTTCTATATAGAACAATATACAATACATTCTCCATCAATCTGAAGAACCATTTTATGTTGCATATGGTTATTTTTAGAACCCTTTTAAAAACGTGACATTGTAACAATAGCAGAACCCTATTTGGTGCTATATAGAACCATTTCTAACACATTCCTTATCAATCTGAAGAACCAATTCACCATGCAGAGAACCACAAAATAGTTTTATATAGAACTCAAGGTTCTAAACAGAACTATTGCCTTCACGGAAGAACCCCTGAAGAACTCCTTCTTACAAGTGTAGTTAAGATGTGAGAGTGAAAAGCTGATGCTGCGTGGATTGTTTGCTTGGGACTAATTATGGTCAGTTATTGTTTTAACCAAGCTATGCAGTAAGATAACTTTTATTTAATAAACAAAGTGAGCAAATTCACCTCAAAACTATAAGGAAAAACTAATGGGGCTTCAGTTTCAGACTGAATATGGTAGCAGGACAAATTCATTTATTTCATTTTGCTGTTATTTTTGTACCCATATGCATCCTGAATCCAGGTCTATTAGATTGTTTGGGGCTAACTAGGGTGTTATGTCCTGCTGAAATGACTGCCATCTAGGTATTTTTGGTGTACTGGGGAAAGTCATGTTAATCACATACTGCATACTATTGACTATTTTCGGGTACAATTCGTACATGAGCAGTATGTAGTAGGATATTTCATACACAGCCCAAATTCTGTGACCTCACTTAGAGGCAGTACTAAAAATGTTAGGAGTTAAAAATTTAGGAGAATTTTTGACTAAACTAAGTAGAGAAAATGAAAAGAAAACTGCAGAAAAAAATCAAGAAGATGGACTTAAAATGGACTTTTATTTTTATACTGTCTTGCATTATTGAATGCATCATTGCTGGTTTATGTAATCTGATGTACCCTGGTCAGCACTATTGTCTTTTCTGTTCCTGACTAATGTTGAAAACTAGCCAAGGTGATTAAACTGGCACATTTACAGCAGCGTTTGAGAGTGAGTTCATCTATTTTTGCGTACTTTGTATAGCTCTTTTATTGAGATCGTTGCTGGTCTAACTCTCTAAGTGTAAAAAATAAGAACAGTTTACAGAGCCTGATATCTATTTGTTTCAAATAATTGGTCTTCCACTGAGGTCACTGGCTTTATTACATAAACAACAGACTCTAAAAAAGACCATTAAGTCATTAATGACCCTTCACACGTCCTCCACTCTGGCTTTGAGTTGCTGCCCCAAGGGCAACGTTATCACTGTCCTCTGTCTGTTCGACAGAGAGTGTCATTTGTGCCTGAGGCCATCAGGTTGATCATGTGCTTGCTATGTTATTTATTTATTTATCATATCTATGAGGATGTCTGTCTTTAATTGTCTGTAGATGTCTCTATGTTATATGTTTGTGTCATATGTCTATATGCCCAGTTATGAATTGCCCATCGGGGCAAACAACATTTATTCAACTCAATTCAATTCAATTCAACCTGAAATTTGAGATAATTCATTATTACATCATTATCGACACTCTTCATTACTTACCTAATGAAGGTTGTCTTTCCTGTTGAGTATTGACCCACCACTAGGATCATGGGTTTGTTGTCAAAGTCTGCGTCCTCCAGGCTTGGAGAGTGGAAGTCAGAGAAGCTGTAGTACTTCTCCAGAGGAAGCAGCTTCTGTCGATAGAGCATCTTCAACCCCTCAGTCACTGTCTGTACCTCCTTTAGGGATTTGCCACCCCTGTTCTTCACTTTTTTGGAAGTCATTGAGCTGAAACCTAAAAATACAGCTGCAGAAAGACATCAAGCACTGAGCATGTGCACAAAAGGTGATAAAGTTGAACACGTGGAGATATAGTATAGCTGTGTTTCACATTCTAAGACAAAGTCTTTAAAGCGACAGTTTGAAGAAGAATCAAATTTATTTAGTTTTATCCTTACCCCAATGTAAGTCAGCCAAGATATGTTGGTGTCTGAAGTTTTCTGCACTGGAGCTACAAGGTGGTATTTTAGTAAAGACAATGGTCCACATTTATCGAGCATCTTAGAATAAGAGCTCTAATTTAAGATCAGGTCTCATCAAGTCATGGCATTTTATTTAGTGTTAGATAAAAAGCATAAGCTGATCCTAGATCAGTATTATTACTCTAGGAAGTCTAATGGTTATATATAGAACCATGAACACTCAAATAACCATTTACATGCATACTTAAAGAGTTCTTCATATTGCAACATCACTCTTTAGATTGATGGAGAATGTGCTGTATGTGGGGCTATATAGAATCTTTTTGGATATGGTTCTATATAGCACCAAAAAGGGTTTTTCTATTGTTACAAACTTGACATTGTAACAATAGCAGAACCCTTTTTCATGCTACATGGAACCATATCCAAAAAGGTTTTATATAGAACCATATACAACCCATTCTCCATCAATCTGAAGAACAATTTCACCATGTAAAGAACTATTTAAGCACGAAAGCACTTTCTACATAGAATTCATTGTTCTAATCAGAACCATTCCCTTTACTAAATAACGATTGAAGACCCATCTTTTTAAGAGTGTATCCTGCTTCTATGAGAATACCACCATAATGACATAATGGCATTGCAACTAGCAGTAGATAAGAACTACTTAACTTAACATTCTTTAAACAAATAGCAAAGGAGAGCACCGGCAGCTCATAAGGGGATTTTAATAAGAGCTTGAGTTCATTGTTTTAGATATAGCTAATAACTTGCAGGTGCTGCAGCATGCTCAAGAGATAAAAAAGTCTCAAAAATCACAAACATTGTGATTGAGCAATACAAGGTAGCTGTTCCAGCTGTTCCACAACTGAACACAACATCCACAACCAATCTTCATCCAAATTTAATCAGCCAGTCTTTCTGTGTGGTACAATGAGCGGTGTTTGATCTATAAAATCGCCAAACGTACAGATGAAATCCTGGCTACTTCTACCGCTGCTACTGCTTTTGTCCATGTTTATAGATAACAGCACGTCATAGAGTGTCTGAAACGACATAAGCATATCTATTTGTGATTACTGAAAGGGGAACTCCATCGATTTTTCAAAAGTTCCACATAATTAAATAGTTAAAATGCAAAGAAAGTCATTTAGAGTGATTTGGTGTGAGATGCTCCGTTCTAGAGAAACATGTCGAGACACAATTGCTCACAGTGGTGGCGATAGGACCGAGGCATCTGATGAGTTTAATGCCTCTAAAAGCTCCCTCACAGAAAGCTGTTACACGAAATGGTTAGATATATGCTGCCCAATGTCTGACACATTGTTTTATGGTAAGGTTTTAGCTTTTTTTTCAGATTTACCACTATTTTACTATCATCAATGACATATAAAAGCTCAGAAGGCATATCTAGGTTCACTGGTGGTTTTAGAAAGCAAATGAAATGGCTGTATTTGTGTTGTAGACATGGCAATCACTGGTTGCTATCACCACCACTGTAAAGAAGGCTCTAATTTTCTGACAACAGTCCATTTCATATCAAACCGCTCTGAATAATTTTGTTTACATGGCAATGATGAAATTATACAGAAATTTTGAAAAGTCTGTGGAATTCTCCTTTAAATCGATGAGGGAATTACAGCCATCCTTCATTGTAAAGCTATGGAACTCATTTTGTTCCAAGCTGAAATCTCTCTGTGCACATTATTAAACAGGTGCTATTCAAATATTATGAAACTGTACTATGTTCATGTTTGACCTGACTCCAGCCTAAACAGCTGTGCTCAATGTTACCCTTGTGTAATAAAAGGAACACAGCGGACTCCCAGGTCGCAGAGCTGGCTCTGATTTGTCACTGGACGTAAGACGTTATTGGAACTGGGTGGAGGGAGGAAAGACTGTAGGAAGCATAAAGAAACTATACTGCCAAGAAAATTGAGATCTAGACGAGAGCCTCCCACTACAGAGACAGTCTATGTGCTCTATGGCCAAAAGGGTGTGGGTATAAGAGGCCATAAATAAGTAAAAGAAATTACAAAATGAGAAATGCATAATCATAAAAATAAATGATCGGACAAGACGAATGAACAACAACCTGAAAACAACAATAAAGGCAGTTCCTTCTCAAAATGTTGTAAATATATTTGTAACAATTTTGTATAAAACAAGTTTTTGAAATCCATCCATCCATCATCTAAACCGCTTATCCTTCCGGGTCGCGGTGGGGTGCTGGAGCCTATCCCAGCTGTCATCGGGCGGAAGGCAGGATACACCCTGGACAGGTCGCCAGTCCATCGCAGGGCAGACAAACAGACATATACATCCACACACATTCACAACTAGGGGCAATTTAGCATGTCCAATTGGACAGACTGCATGTTTTTGGACTGTGGGAGGAAACCGGAGTACCCGGAGGAAACCCACGCAGACACAGGGAGAACATGCAAACTCCACACAGAAACGACCCTGGTCACCCGGCCGGGAATCGAACCCAGGTCCTTCTTGCTGTGAGGCGACAGCGCTACCCACTGCGCCAGCATGCCACCCAAGTTTTTGAAATGAAAAACATAATTAAAAACACATTTTATGTGTCTTATAAATGTGGCAATTAGAATAATATAGCAGTGATATTTCTTGTATGTGTAAAGTTCACTCCCAAGAACATCACAAGAAAATTCTTGACAGTGGTCTGATGCGATTTTGACAGCTTCCTATATGACAGCATCTTATTCCAACGTTCCGTTCCGCCTTAAATTTTGCAGCAGCTTCACGCTATTGTGTGTATATGCACTGTATAGGCACCACAATGTAACTGCTGTCCCATTTAAGGTGGAACCAACTAAATTTAGCTTGATAGGGAAAAATGCCATTTATCTTGTTCTGACTGGTCTAAGGTGATGTTTTTAGAGTTATACTTTGGATGAACAACTTTTTTTATTACATGTAACTTTTTCACTTTGGATTTTTTTATTGTTTAAGCAAAAGTAGTCTTCATTGAAAAAAAGACTGCATGTAATATGATAAATGTGAAGTGAATAAAACTCATTTTTAGCTATACAAAAAATCTTCAAATTTCTTTTCAAATATAAATATGGACTTTAAAGAACTTTTTCAAGTGTTCTTTAGTAAAGGAAATGGTTCTATATAGAACCAGGAACACCCAAAGAACCATTTGCATGGTTCTTTGTATGGTGAAATGATTCTTCAGATGGAGAATGTGGTGTAGATGATTCTATATAGAACCTTTTTGAAAAGGCCTCTGTATAGCACCAAAAAGGGTTCTGCTATTGTTATGATGTCAAGCTTGGAACAACAGCACTTTCTGGTGCTATATAGAACAAATAAAAAGGTTTCAGAAAGAATCATATACATCACATTTTTCATCAATCTGAAAAACTATTTTGTGATGCAAAGAACCGTTTAAACATGCAATTGTTCTTTGAGTGTTCATGGGTCTATATCCAACCATTTTCTTTACTAAAGAAACCTTGAAGAACCATCTTTTTTAAGTGTTTACCTTTACTCTGGCAGTCCAGTTTAAAGCCACAAGCACTATTTTCTCATTCAAAATATTCACTGTTAAAGAGAACTTGATAGATTTACAGAAAACCTGAAAAAGTTTAAAAGAACAGCATAATGGAAGTTCTTACCTGGTCAGGACAGGAAGGCAAACTGAGACTGCTAAAACGTTATGACAGGTACAAAGCACTCTTTCTCATCCACCCAGTTTTGTTCCTTTGCTCTTAGGCCTATAGAAAACTTCATGAAACATAAAGGCACAATCTTCTAATGAATAGCTTCTTTCTCTATGCCTGGTAACTGCAGTCCTGCAACTGAACTATTTCTCACATTTTTTTCTAAACGTAGGAAAGATACTGAGAATGAATACAGCCTCCTTGCCTTGCAGTTATACTACGGTCTGAACTGTGGGTCCTGGTGTGCTCAACTCCAGATGTTTGCAGGGGTGGGGAGCTGGATCACTAACATTCTCCAAAAAGCAGAAAGATTAGTTTTATGTGTGTGTGTGTAATCAAACCCTAGCATAGTGTGATGGCACAGACAAGGCTAGCCAATATTTGGATCCGTTTAGCAGACTCGGCCTTTATCCGGGCCAAATACTTTTTGAGTTAACTTCGCAGTAATAGGCTACAGCACATGCTTTTGGACATTTTAAAGGTCCCATATTGTGGAAAAATGAAATTTCTTCACCTTTTTGAAATAGCAGTATACAAACACTGTTCAAACTTCAAAATATATCACTCCCCACTCCATACAGTCCGTTTATGGAAACTAAACTGCAGTTCTGAATTCATTGTTTTTGTGATGTCACGAAAACAGACATATTTACATATTTCCACCTATTCAGCCTACAGCAGTGAAGCCTACCATTTAGCTGCCCAATTATGCTCACATTGTAAAGAGTGACATTGTGACCCCTGGCTTCTATCACCACCACTGTAAAGAAACTTTGTTTGCATCTCAGTGACCAAATTATGCCGACATTTCGAAAACTTGGTGGAATTCCCCTTTAAGGCCTTCCCTCGTTTCTGAATAAGGTCACGTGCCACAAAATCTGTAATTTGACGTTACGCGCTGCGAACGTTAGTTAACTGTCAGTAATTTGTCACTTTTTAGCTTGTATTTTTTATAGCCTTCGCTTAAAAGTACGAGGTCAAGCTTGTACTGGTTGTAACAGATTTCAGGTTTTCAGATTTTATCGTCTTTTTCGAATTTTGTTTCCACGTGCTGACTTATCTTAAAACACTACCTTAACTGCCTCCCTGCGCTGTCAGCAGAAGTAGGTAAGATACAGTGCAGTTCATTCTGCACATCACAGAGCTGTCAGATAGAAGGCCTTTAGTTTTATATTTAGCTCTGATAAATATACCTGTTTTTGTTTTTACGCGCGATTTTGAAATGCCAGGCAACCGCAACCATATTATTCGAATTTTCCGTTCCACCTTTAACGGTGCAGCAGCAACCGTCGCCAGAATGCAACTGCTGCACCATTTAAGGTGGAACGGAAAATATGAGTAATAAACTCGAGAACAAGAAGCTAACTTGGCTAGCTAGACACTTTTGCTGATGTAACGTAATTAATGTTTTTCATAACTTCATCATTTTACAGAAGACAGAAACTGTTGAGCAACTTATATTCTGCGAACATATTACCAAAATGCAAAGTTTTCAGATGAGACCAGAGTGAGCACATAAACAAGATTTTTAACTTCAGCACAATTTCAAACGTTGGCATGAATTAAAACTTAGTTTAACCAATTCCAACATATATTTTAACTAAATCTATGTTAACTAACTAGCCTAAGCCAGTTTACGCTCAATCGCCAGCGACTCGAATTTTCCGTTCCACCTTAAATGGAACAGCAGTTACAGGCGCCGGAACGTACGTACTGCGGCATTTAAGGTGGAAGGAGAAATTTTAATAAGAATTTGGAGACCCAGAAGCTAACTTCACTTGGGTAGCCAGTTTTCCATGTTTTTTGTAGTTTTAAATCATTTTGTATTTGTCTAAATGAGTCCAAAAAGTTAAATGAACTGTATTTGTGCCCAGCAGCATGGCTGAACTTCAGTCTACAGATCAAGTTACAGAAGTTGTGAATCCTTCTGATGAGAATTTGCCTCTGCTCACTGAAAACCTCCTAGATAATGTAGTCTTTATCAGTCCCTTAACCTCACCTCTACCCTCTTTGGAGGATCAGCTTTGGGTAGACTCTGATTCTGGAATGAGTGGAGACACTGGTAAGCATCTCATTTTTTAATTTTCACAAAAATGTTCCGTATTTAAACAGGTTAGATACGATTTGCAAGCTTAAAGTGGTAAAATCTGATTCATCTTTTATCTGTAACACATCAGAGAGACCACTGGCTTCTTCACTAAAAGCCTATAACAGTCCCGTTTTGAGTGAACCAGAATCTCTGCTTGGGCCAGAGCTCATTCCTCCAGAGGTTGTGCGGAGAACCAAAGCCACAAAGTATGAGTGTTTGGAGTGTGGTAAAGTATTCAGGACCACAAACGCCCTCAACAGACACCTTCTCACCCACCAATCGGACAGACCCCATGTGTGTGATATCTGCCAACGAGGATTTAAACGCCAGGATCACCTGTAAGTGAAACTCATTATCATAGCACCAAATGCCTATCCTAATGTTAGCATTCACTTTTAATACAAAGTGCAAACCAACCACGTTTCAGTGGATGGTTTCTTCAACAACAAAATCTAAAACCACACAAAATAACATGATTTGGAAGATACAAAGATGAAGAGGACGACCTGTTTGAGAGCTGCAGCAAAAACGGGTGATCATTCCGAAATGTAAATGTCTTGAGTTTTAGCTAGATCCTGGTTAAGACAGGTCGCCCCTTGGTCAGCCATGAGATAGGGAGCATGCACTCCAGGCTACTCTTACTTTGAAATGATGAAATGGACATAAATTTGGGAAATTACATCATGGATTTTAGAAAGCCTCATTTTTTGTACATGCATGGAAAATGGGTGGTTAAATTTGTTCTTTTGTGGCTGTTTAAAGAGCCCATGACGTTGATTTCTCTTATTTGTAATTTTTTTCCCCTGAAGACCACTCATAATGTTGGTGTGGTTTTATGTACCAAAAGCAGACAAAAGAAATTTTCAATTTGAATTCAAATCAAATTCAAATCAAATTCCCCTTTATATAGACTTCTGTTCTGATTGTCCACCCTGTATTGTGCCCCATTCAAAAAGCAGTCCAGGCTGATACACTCCTTACAATCTTAGCATAAATGGGCAGGGCTAAACTGCTGTAGGCTGAATAGGTGGATATATGTAATATGTTTACATACTACATCGTACTACAACTACTACAACTTTTTGTGTTATTTATTATATGGTCCTTTTAAAAGAATGTCTGGGTGATTATTCTAGTTCTAGTGCTTGCTAGCAATGTTAGCCCTGTAATTCCAGTTTTAAACTACAGAAGCAAAATTTGGACTACAATCATGCCCAGAGTACATCTGGGATAAGTAGAAAATTTGGTAGATCTGAATTTTCGTCAAACTATTCCTTTAAAGTGTTGCTTATCACACTTTCTCTGTAGCATGAGTCATTTGCTGACCCACCAGAAGAGGAAGGCTCACTGCTGCCAGAAGGTGGCCAGGAAGCACCATTGTGCCAGCCAGCCTGGAGCCTCCCAGCACCCCACCAAACCTTCTTCAACCCCTTGGGAGATTCCTGCAGAGACAGAGGGCCATTCTCTCTCCCTCTCTCCACCTATACCTGCTTCAGTCTCTCAGCTGTCACAGTATGCTTGCTGTGGAGCCAGTTACAGCAGCTACACTGGGTTTGCTTCAGTGGTAGGGAATCTTGGCTTGAATCACTATCCAGAAGAAGTTAGTATATCAGATGTAAAACTACCTGTGATTTCAGAAACGTGGAGCTTAGCAGCAGTGGACTTTCCAGCATCTCATGATGCTTTGCCCTCCAACCAATGGGCTCCAAGTCTTCACCCGTGGTCTGGAAATGTTGTGGTAGATCCAATGGCACCAGAAAGCAATGTCCAAGGTTGGGAAGATGATCTGGATTTCCCTTTTATAAAGGGAGTGCTGTCTTCGCAACCTTGCCAGGAGGCAGCTAGTAGAGAAGCTGGAGTGGAACATTCCTTGAAGAACTCCCCTGCTTGCCCCAAGAAGAATCGACCTATTTTACTGAAGCATGGCCTTCAACGGCTGAAACCTCACAACAAGCAGCAAGTCTCATTCATTAGTGGAACACAGCGATTTTCTAAATCACATAGTGAGTTTGGATTAGTGGCATCAAGTTCTCACCAAAGGGCAACTGGTCTTCCTGATCCACCTTTATCCAAAGGCAGAAAGAGAAGAGTGAAGCAGAAGACTCCTGATACTCCTGCCCCTCCTCTACCTGTTCCCAGAACCAGTACACAGAGACGAGGCAGGCCCAGCTCTGCGTACCTTTTCTCTCCCAGTCAGGTGGCAATGGCATCCTTCAGTACAGAGAGCGCCCCCTCTCACATGATCAAGGTATCGCATGTCATGCTGTAGGTTATTCTCAGCCATTGTTTTGCATGGACAATTTGCTTTTGTTTGATGCTACAGTTCAGAAGTTCACAATTGCTTGTAACATTATTTTGCATTCCAAACGGCACCTTTAAATATTTTGTTCAATATTTCAGGTATTTGGGCACACAAGAAGGTAATTAATGTTAAACGATATACCACAGTTATTAGGGATGCACAATGATATTAGCAGGTAATTTCTTCTAAAAAATGATATGCATTGGAGAGATGTTCAGATTCAACTGATATTTCAAACCAGTATTTGATGATATTTATTGTACTCTGAATGATTAGGTGACATTGGGCTGCTGTGCTGAAATGCATGCATTTTGTTCAATTTACTGCATTTGTAACCCTACAGAAAGATTTATTTCTCTTTAATACTAATTCAGGTTGCTCTAGTCCCAATTTGCACATTTTATAAATGTTTATGCGTCAGTATTGGTATCACCACTTTGAAATACAAAGCATTTAGGATATTAATTTTATTGACTATTCTTTGCAGAATCATCTAAAGCATCATTTGTCATTCTTATCTTGCTACAGCTTCTTGGTTTCCTTTTTGATTTAAAAACTTGTGGAGTTGCACATGACCAGCATATTAGAATCATTTTATACATGTATCTGCAGTGAAATTAGTTTTACACTGAAAACACTGATTCCAAATGTTTGAATGCTAGTGTACGCACAAATTCCCGCCATAAAGAGAGTGGATAATTCAGTGTAGTTTTGTTTAAGTGTGGCTGCTTTGACACAGCGTGGAAGAGACTCTTGTGCCAGGTCAGGAAATGTGTTTTAGGGTAAAGTGTAATTAGATAATATTTAGTTGGTCACAGTTTAGAACTTTTGAAGGGTGCTGCTGTTGAGAAACACCATCAGAACACAGACTGTTTTAGTTTAACTGCAATA